GTCCGTGATACAGACTTACCCTAACTGTGTTTCTAGGAGAACGATACCATTGGTGTCCGTGATACAGACTTACCCTAACTGTGTTTCTAGGAGAACGATACCATTGGTGTCCGTGATACAGACTTACCCTAACTGTGTTTCTAGGAGAACGATACCATTGGTGTCCGTGATACAGACTTACCCTCGCTGTGTTTCTAGGAGAACTAGACCATTGATGTCCGTAATACAGACTTACCCTCGCTGTGTTTCTAGGAGAACTATACCATTGGTGTTGTTATACAGACTTACCCTAACTGTGTTTCTAGGAGAACTATACCATTGGTGTCCGTGATACAGACTTACCCTCGCTGTGTTTCTAGGAGAACTAGACCATTGGTGTTGTTATACAGACTTACCCTCGCTGTGTTTCTAGGAGAACGATACCATTGGTGTCCCTAATACAGACTTACCCTTGCTGTGTTTCTAGGAGAACTATACCATTGGTGTTGTTATACAGACTTACCCTAACTGTGTTTCTAGGAGAACTAGACCATTGGTGTCCCTAATACAGACTTACCCTCGCTGTGTTTCTAGGAGAACTATACCATTGGTGTTGTTATACAGACTTACCCTCGCTGTGTTTCTAGGAGAACTATACCATTGGTTTCCGTAATGCAGACTTAACCTCGCTGTGTTTCTAGGAGAACGATACCATTGGTGTCCGTTATACAGACTTACCCTTGCTGTGTTTCTAGGAGAACTATACCATTGGTGTTGTTATACAGACTTACCCTCGCTGTGTTTCTAGGAGAAGAATACCATTGGTGTCCGTTATACAGACTTACCCTCACTTTGTTTCTAGGAGAACGATACCATTGGTGTCCCTAATACAGACTTACCCTAACTGTGTTTCTAGGAGAACTAGACCATTGGTGTTGTTATACAGACTTACCCTCGCTGTGTTTCTAGGAGAACTATACCATTGGTGTCCGTTATACAGACTTACCCTCACTTTGTTTCTAGGAGAACGATACCATTGGTGTCCCTAATACAGACTTACCCTCGCTGTGTTTCTAGGAGAACTATACCATTGGTGTTGTTATACAGACTTACCCTCGCTGTGTTTCTAGGAGAACTATACCATTGGTGTCCGTTATACAGACTTACCCTCACTTTGTTTCTAGGAGAACTATACCATTGGTGTCCGTTATACAGACTTACCCTCTCTGTGTTTCTAGGAGAACTATACCATTGGTGTCCGTTATACAGACTTACCCTCACTTTGTTTCTAGGAGAACTATACCATTGGTGTCCCTATTACAGACTTACCCTCGCTGTGTTTCTAGGAGAACTATACCATTGGTGTCCATCATACAGACTTACCCTCTCTGTGTTTCTAGGAGAACGATACCATTGGTGTCCGTTATAAGATAGGCAGTCTGGGATGTCTGCATCACATCATTTTTGTCCGTCTCTCCTAACGGACTGAGGGTATTAATTGGGTCAGTTATACATCCATCCCCTGAGTTCTCAACTGTACAGGTCATTGTTATGATATCTTGTTCCATTTTCTCTATAACAACAAAAATAAAATAAAAGAAGCCTCATCTATGGACATGACAAGCACATGGCTTATTAACATAATCATACGCAAAGGTCACTGGATATTTCAATTGTTTACTTTGGTCAGACAATGTAAAAGATGACTTGATAAAGTTTGTATAGTTCTTATACTGAAAGACATAATTATTATATAGGTAACATTGTATAGAAAGAGTGATGAGAGAATTATGACTTATTTTAGAAAAAAAAAATGGTAAAAATTATAAACAAATAAGGCCAATGTAAACCTCACTTGCTTTGTGTTTCGATAATGAATTTCATAAGGCGCTTTTAAATATTTTGATTAACAAGAAAAGTAGACTATAACACGGCAATTTAAAATATCACATGAAATAACCACAATCAATATTTAATTTATAGCGAGTGCAGCAAGCTCAATAGACTAACGTGTAAGAACAGAGGAAATTTGGAATGAAATCTGTGCATTCGTCAGGCAAATTTTCTTGTGCAACATTCCCAGAATTCCTTCGCTACCAGGATTCTATGTGAAAGTATTACAAAACATACAAAAGACCAAGGATAATTGTTCCTTACCAAGAGATATGTTTACTTTTCTTTATTTGCAGAGAGCTTAAAAGAATTAAACAAAAAATAATTGCATCTACTCTTCAACATATTTCATTAAATATTGCACAAGACCTGTAGTCTCAATCAACCAGATGCTCTGCTTTCTCTGTAAATTCTGATGTCATGTGACACCACAGTCTAGACTGTGTCACCTGAAGCTTGAAGTTTGAAGAGGCGGATCAATGTTACAGGTGTAAGCTGTGTATATCAGGTCCAGTACAATCAGTACATTTAGCTACATAGTTAAAATTACCTACAGTAGCTTTATTTACCTACCTCAGGGAGCTTTATTTAGCTATTTCAAGGCAACTTTTCACAATTTTGCTTTTTATTTTAAAAAGACAAAAAGTCGCAAGTAAATGTTTACTAATATTTATTCTAGGTATTATTTAAAAAGCAGTCTAAAGCAGAGATAGTTTTAACATTGCTGCATTTGAACACTTTTAACGAAAATATGTATTTCTGTTGTTTGAGTTACTGTACACCACCTTACGTGCGATGAGGCGTGGATAAGTATGATTACTTCACATTGTGCTCATGTTAACCAAAACTGGTTTTCTTTGTTATTTCACTCAAGAAGTAACTGTTAGGTCACAAATTAACTGTTGTATATAGCCTCAAAACTTTTAGAACTTTGATTACAATTGCGCAGAAAAAGACACATTTCCAAAAGTGATTTTTTCATGAATTGTTTTCAGATGAGTTCTTAGTTGAAAATTATCACTGCATCAAAGTGCAATTTTCTGCACTTTCTGGGAAAAATGCTAATTTAAGAAATAAGTTTGATTTAGTAGCTAAATAAAGCTACTTCAGGTAGGTAAATAAAGCTAAATTCAAGCTACGTAGCTAAATCTAGTGATTGTACCAGACCTGTATATAGGCTTTTGATGGTACAACTGCACTTGCCCCAATGGTCACACCATAAAACATATTAATTTTCATTTTAAATGTATTTAGCACAGATACTCTCTTAAGAGCACGACTACTGACACTCGAGTGTAAACAATATTTGTTTACATTCAAGGTTTGAGAAGATCTAGTTTTTTTTTTTCAACAGGTTGGGATTCATCCCCCGATATCGGGATTGTCTCTGAAATGAGGGATATTTCCTTTTATGGTTATAATAAAGTCGCGCCAAAGCGGGATTTTTTCGTGCATTTCAACTGATCCGCGTTCGTTGTCTATTTGAAGATAGTCGCGGAATGTCAGCAAGTGTGGTAAGTTGAACACTTATATCTGACTATGTGTGAGTCAGAAATTTTACATATTGATGTCTAATTAATAGTAATTAACAAATATTAAGATAATAAGAGTGTTTAAGACCATTAACGACAATAAAAATGTTGAAATTGAAAGGTACCTGGAAAGTTTACATGTTATGCCTCCATTTTGAATCGCCACCTAGCTGTGACAATTGTGATTAACCAATCAAATTTGATCTTTCACTTTTTCTATAGCATGATCATTGTATGGCGAGCTGTTACTGCTAAAAATCATTAAAACAAAAAATTATTCTGATATTCTTTTTTCTTCGGTAGTTCTAGTTATGTTTTACCATTAAACATATTATAATTTATTTTTTTGTCTGTGGATCAATTCTGTATATTATAAAATATATTTTAGTATTTGTTTACAAGGGAAAGGGTGTGTGTTATTGATACAATGTTTCAAAGTTATACATAAGAACGCAGTTTTAAATAAAAATAAATGTATTTAAATCATCATGGATTTATAATTTTTTTACAGCACGGTGTAGTAATTCCCATTTCATGCTATTCATTTTTGCCCCCCCCACCCCCTCTTTCTTCTCACTTCTCATGTGAAGTCCAGACATCCAGGAAACAGTTAATAGAATGTTTCATTATTATAAATGTGCAATTGCATGACATTTCACATATTTACCTTTTATAGGAAAAGGTTTCTAAGAAAGGGGTGGTGTCCCTGAAACCCCTGAAGGTAAAGGCTGGCGTTGAGAGACTGCAGAAGCAGTCTCTCATCACAAAGACCCTAAGCAGGAGGAAAAATACATTGTTTTCCAAGGTTTGTAATTTTTAAGCTGTATTAAGACAATTGTTTATAAACCAATAAAAATAAGTTATTTACGACTGTATATTTATATTACGTGTGTAATAAATTGATATAGGCACACGAGCTGCATGTGGTGACTGGTTCTCCTGTTAGAGTTGAGGTCCATGTACCCAACTCTAACAATCGGTATGTATACCGTAGCCAGGGCTTTCCTACACAGGTTAGAACTTTTTTTACATTGAAAACAACAATTCTAAACAGATATTTATGACAGAGTTTGTTAAATACCTTTCGTTATATTGGACACTCTTTTCATGTATATATTTTTCAGCAGTATATAATTGTACATAATTGTAGAAGTTAATAATTTGAGTAGGAATTGTACACAAGCATGGTGGTCATTGTAATGGTATTCTATATGCAGAAGGAAAGCCGGTCACAAGAGTCACAGTCTGGACCCTCAACAGGATCACAGCCTGGACCCTCAACAGGATCACAGCCTGGACCCTCAACAGGACCTGTGAGGTACCCTTCCCCCCCACGGCTTTTGCGCAGTGAGGACAAAGCGACCCAGACAAGTGTCTTCGAGGACCAGGACAAGTGTCGGATGTGTGGGGAGGGGGAGTTGAGCACCAGGGCACTTTGGGTTGGGTGCTCCCAACCCAAATGCAATTATTGGGTCCATGCCTGTTGCCTGCATATTAGGGCAAAGAGTCAAAGGGCTCTTTGCAAGATTGACTGGTTTTGCCCTCAACACTGGAGGGATGAAATAAATTAATGTTTAACTTAAATAGTTACCTTCTTTATTTGTCCACCTCTCTTAGTTCTTGCAAGAAATGAATTATCGCCGATTTGGATTTGCTTTTTACAGACTTCCATCTCTGCTTATAGGACAATACCAGACTAAGGCTCATGTTGTCCAGGACATCTTCAACCATTTGAAGTAATGTTGCCCTAGTCTGGTTGTCCAGTGCCTGATGTTTTTCCCTCTCCTCTGGCAGAACAAATATTGGCTGGAATTTCCGTCTGCATGAGAGGTCATTTCCAGAAGATTCTAAGAACTCCAACATGTTGTCTTGGCATCTTCTGGAGAAATGAAGGAGTTCTTCATCCAGAGTGACTCCTCCTATACTGATCAGTGTACGGGACGCAAACCATCCGCTGCTGCGTACCATTTTCCTGTTCAAATAAAATCAGAAATAAAAATAGCTAAAACATTTTAAATTAGATTAAAACACCTTTGATCGTGATTTTTAAATCTTTAAAATGTTTACCTGAATTCAAAGATTTCTCTGGATAAATCCACTGCGTAAGAGTACTGTGTATCAGTGGAGGAAATGGTCTGAAGTTCATACACTTTTGATCTAATCTATTTAAAATGTATATTGACATTATAGCATAAATTATTGTATTTATGTAATACCCGTATTGTTGTCATCTTCATACTGAATCATTCCAATTTTAACGTTAATATGCAATTAAACAAACAATAAATAAAATGCATTGGAATTCTTTAACATTTATCACAGGTTTATAATAGCTTTTCAATATGATCTACATCTCTTTATTCAATTAATTCATGCTTATTAAGTACCTTGCCTAATCTGTCTACATTTCGACAAATGTTGGTCCAGATTTGATTTGTGGGGACTCCAGAGGGTACAAGCCTTTTTGTTTCTCTGTTTTTTGCTTCTAGCACAAAGTCCCCTCCTTCACCTTTGCTATCGTTACCCGAAACACTGTAGGATTCATGTCTCTCAATGAACGCAAGAACTTCAGGCGGACATTGTATACGAGTCAAGGAATCCCTAATGTATGTTTCCATGTAAAAAGGCATATTAAGACCAAAAAAGAGAGGGGCAAACTTTGCTTTGCTACAATTAATGGCATCAGTATTGTTGCGCCTGACACCTGCTCTGAATACATGGATGGAAAGGCAGTAAGTAAATACAACCTCCCGCATAAATTCATATAAAACAGTAGGCTGAGATGTCTTTAGCCATTCATAATACCCCCTGAGAGATGGATGAATGTGGGTAGTCTTACAGTGTCGTACATAAGGTGTTAGAAGCTCCTCAGACACTGCATGCAGAAATATCTGCAATACCTGCCAGCTCTTATGGTGATCTTTAAAGAATGAACAAAAGAAAAGGTATTTTAAATTGTCAACAATACCAAATTTGCTTATAAGGCAATGAAATATATGCTTTGAGTGAAATGTTTACCTGCACAAGCACGTAATGACGCTAATGCAGTGGGACTCTTGAATCCTAGCATTTTGCCTAGGTCCTCAAATGCAACCTTCCACATGAAACTAATTATGCTTTTCACCATATTTATTTCGTAATGGCCCAGGCCTTAAATTATGACAAAATAATAGTCATGAGTACATATATACCATGTATATATATATATATTCAAAATCATGTATGTATGAACATAAGTATCTTATAATTTGTGCCTACATTAAGTAATTAGAAATTACCTGGTATGAGGAGTACATTCTTAAATTTTTTGCACTGTTCCATCCTTATAGTAGTAGAATGCTCAGAGTCGTTTCGATGTTCATCGAAACTAGGAGCATCTATGAATTCCCTGTGGCATGTTGGGCACAGGAAAGAAGAGTCGATCAAACGGCTACCTATTATTATTGATTTTTACATACATGTACTGCATTTTTGAGTTTAAAACAAATAATAAAGATAAGTTGATTAAAAATTGTAGAGATGTAAAAACCTGACCCACCTAATGTATATGGTAGTGCGTCACAACCCAGAATTGTCCACTTCCTGTCCCCACACATTGTGAGGTCTGATATATGACTTAAAACCTGTAACAATATTTATTTAGAAGTATGCATACAGACGCACTTGAATTTCCTCTGTTGTTTTTGCGCACCAGAATTTCCTCTGTTGTTTTTGCGCACCAGAATTTCCTCTGTTATATACTCTATATTGTTATTTACTTTATGTTATCAACCGATTAAAAAATGTTATAATAACACAAATACCTCATCAATAGCGTCATATGAGCAGGGATTCTCAAAACAAGGTTCTCCCATGACTACAGAGGGTGGCTCTTCTGGGTGTTGGGACACGACGAAAGAATATCTGTGATATTGAAGATAGCTCATTATGACGTGTCATTTATTTAAATATGAAAACTGCTATACAATGTAAAATACACACCTTTCGTCCGCTCTATTTTTCAACTGAACGTTGTTGCCATCAACATAATCTGTCCCTAATGCATGCTCCTCCCAAACACTTTCAATTTTTTGTGCAATGAATTCGTCTCTGTATATGAATTGTGAATATTTTGTAATTGATTTCAACACTGTGCTTTATATATATTTATTTAAATATGGTAAACATGCAATATTTATTTAAAAATGCCTATGAGGTATGTTTTGAAAATGCATGATACCTATATTTCCGGAATTTTTCATTCATTTTTGCTTGATGCTCCATTAGCATCCTTGGTACATCCCTGCACTCCTCTGAGGCATGCAGCCAGTTACATGGAGATAGCTGCTCCTGTTTTTGCAGGGTACTATTTTTTTCCGGAAGAATGTGGATAATGTTGGTAAAAACACTTGCAGTAGACTTAAAGTCATACTGGACTCTCCATTTTCTCTGCAGAATCTGTACATAATTTATGAAACTTAATGATTTGCAATCATGGGAAAACCTGCACTTGGATTACATATAGAAATCTTATTGGATAATTTTAATTAAAAACTTAAATGAAAGAGGTTTGCACATCGATCTGCTTATATAGATCTTAAAATAGTTATGAATATATATGAAAATATATGATTAAACCTGGTTATTGTCAAAGAATGTGACAATGTCAAAATCTTTTGGGCATTCCAGTTTTATAGTTCCGTGGTCTTGTATCCAACGCTAGAATGATGTAAATAACAAATGATTTATTTATCACGTTTAACCCTATATCTCATGCTGGCACGTAGAATCAGGAGGGGGGGGGGGGCACTTTGTTCCAAACATAACCTTTTACTATTGTAAATGTACGCTGAAAGGCTGCCCCCCCCCCCCATTTTGGTGTAGTTTAGTTAAACCATAGCAATTTAGGTAATGTATTTATAAAATTTAGATTAGAATGGAAGTTTGTATCCCCCCTCCCCCCCCCCCACACACAAACATACACAAAATAGGATTTTCGAATTTGGCCAATTTTTTTCTTTCTTTCTTTCTTTTTTGGCATGTCATGGTAAGTAAAAAAAATTCTCATGCTGGACCCCCCATTTTCAAAAGCGATGCTACGTGCCTGTCATGGATTTCATTAATTTGGATAATTCTTTTATTTGCTATGAAAGGATATATTGTATTTAAAGTTTATGAAAATAACAGTTAATCTTATTTTAATTATGTCTTTATTTGTTTCAAACCCAGGTATAGACATGTACCTGTAACGTGGAGTAAGATCCACATGGCAGTCCCGAAGACAACAAAGAAACTGCCGTTTTACTGCCTGTTGCAAAATATAGCATCAGCAGATTGGAAAAACTGAATGGCGCTACAAAACTTCTATTACATAGGTAATAGAGCTGCTCCATAGCTCTGACCTTATTCACCCCTATATTTGTGTCCCCGGATAATCCATGTAGGAATCTGACAAGGACTGAATTGCGTTTATGCATCCAATCTAAAAAGTAAATTACAATACTACACATACTAGCTGAATGGTAACGTTTTATTTATTAACACTTTTTATTTTACTTTTTGTTTCAATGCAACATCTTACCATCAAAATTGAGTTGTTGTATAAAACTTGCATCTTTATACTCATTGGAGCAGGATGTGGCATCTTCTGCAACCTGTCTTGCTACAAAACGTCCTATACTGCCTGCTATTTTACCCAGGCTTTCTTCACAAAAAACACCAGAATCAATGGCTTCTAAAAATTCGTTTAGATATTCCTTGATGGTTATTTTCTTTTTTTTACAAAGTTTGTCCTCTGCAAACGAGGCACAAGCATTACAAATATAAGTTGAATGTGCAAATAAATCGCCATTTTCAATGAGGGCCTCAGTTGCACTCTTCCTTATTTTTTTGCCATCATTTTTATAAACAACAAATTCCTTCCCTTGGGAGTAGTTGTCGTGCTGTTTACAGCTACACTGCTTCCTTTTGGGTGGCATATCTATCCTATTATAAAGTTATATGCATTTATTATTCGTATCTCTCTCCCTCCCTCCCCCCCCCTCTCTCTCTCTCCATAAATAGGTATATCTGCTCTTTAAATAATTGAATGATTTTCATAGATAAATAAAAATATATCGCCTACAGATGTGTACATGTACATGTTTTCTTAAATAGAGACAGTTATTAACATATATGAACAATTAACAATGTATGGTAAACTGCTTTTTCTTCTTCTTCTTCCTTTCACAGTTCATACCACCATTTGGTGTATTATCAAACTATTTAACTGAGATTCGTTTAGAATGACAAAATATTTTAAAGGGAAAAAACAATTATAAATGTTAGAAATTGCACTTTTTTCATAGAAATAAGTGACGAAATGAAATTTTAAAAAATGTCCAACTTATCTTTTGATAGATTTGTTTATAATGTTAAAATATTGATCAAAAACATTGAATGTGTCATTTATTTGCAGAAAACGCATATATCGATAAACATTTTTATCTTTGTCCTGTTTTTTTGAGGCACTTTATGCTGTCCAAGGACTACCAGGATATTTTATTAAAAACATGCACGCACTGAACGCCTTACTTTATTAGACGATGCGAAAATTGTATCTGAAACTGCTTTCAATTGGATGATCAAAAAGTCACATGCTTCCGGTTTTAACAGCAATGGAAGACAAAGTCAAGATCTAAGTATGTGAGGTTTGAAAAGTTAGATAAATGTCGTATTATTGATAAAATAGCAAGTTTAAATGGTGTTGGATGAAAACAGTACCTTTTTTCAGTTTTCAAATGGGAAAAGGCGCTCCCACAGACTATGAAATTTCAATCCACTGGCACGGATTCCTTCTTCAAGTCTTCCTGTACGTGTACTGTATCAGAAATTTCGCGCTTTAGCTTATAAAGCATGCATTGCTTTAAATAACAAAAGAAGTTAACATTGTCTCGCATACACGAGATATTTATTTGACCATAAAAGGAAATATCCCTCATTTCAGAGACAATCCCGATATCGGGGGATGAATCCCAACCTGTTCAAGGAACTTTGCATTTGTGGCATTTCCAATCAAACATTCTTGTGGACAATGCTTATAAAACTTTCAAAAATTTAAAGTTAAATTTATGCTAAGCAAGTATATTTATTCTAAGCAAGTATTTGTATAACTAATTACACGATTCTAAATCTTTAATTCCTTGTTTTTCTCGTCCAGTGTCTGAAATGATGACAGGATATCACGCACAGATCGCTAAATTTAGAGAATGTGCGGAAAGCATATAGTTTTCCGGATATGTAAAAGCAACCGCCCGGCTGCATGGGCTGTTCAGTATATTATGTACATTCGACAGTAAGCGTAATTTCCATTTGAAAAACCGTGTGTTTGGAATAAATGTCCTTAATAAATAAAAGCATATTTGTTTGCCGTGCCAAGAAATCCCGTCTTGTCTAGACTTGGAGTGTCATATCCCTTGCAGAGTTGATGCTCGTTCCTTGTATGAGCCGACACTGTCGGCGGATCCTGACTTCTTTAGTGTTTAAGTCTAAAACGTCCAAGAGTCGTACAACATGGGAGCCTGCGCCTGCATTTGAACTTTTGACCTTGAAAGTGATCAAGATCAAAGATCAAGGTCATTATAAATTTTAAGTAATTGCTGGTGGCAAAGATATGCATATGGGCGATGACAGATAAGATAACAATGTCGGATTATAACAGACTCGGACCATTATGAAGTCGGACTACAGTCGAGAATTCATAGAAACTCTTGGGAAAAGTCTACTTTTATATTGTTCCATGTACCTACAAATCAACTATAATTCGGTATATGGGCTAAATGAACGGAGAAGCAAAATATATGTATACCTTATATCGGGAATTCAAATTCCTCTGCAATTTTGGATATATGGAATTTATTTCATCTAGAATAAATAAATGATCTTTAAATATGGCATGTCAAACGTTGCAATATTCGATCTTTTCCATTTGTATTGTATAATTTTCCATTTATATTCTATAATTCTCCATTTATATTCTATAATTTTCCATTTGTATTGTATAATGTTTATTTGTATTCTTTAATTTTCCATTTGTATTCTATAATTTTTCATTTGTATTGTATAATTTTTATTTGCATTGTATAATTTTCCATTTGTATTCAATAATTTTTCATTTATGTTGTATAATTTTTCATTTGTATTGTATTATAATTTTTATTTGTATTCTATAATTTTGCATTTGTATTGTATAATTTTCCATTTGTATTGTATAATTTTCCATTTGTATTGTATAATTTTCCATTTGTATTCTATAAATTTCCATTTGTATTCTATAATTTTACAATACAAATGAGAAATTATACAATACAAATGGAAAATTATACAATACAAATGGAAAATTATACAATACAAATGCAAAATTATAGAATACAAATAAAAATTATACAATACAAATAAGGATTATACAATGCAAATAAAAAAATTATACAATACAAATAAAAAATTATACAATACAAATGAAGAATTATTGAATACAAATGAAAAATATAGAATACAAATAAAAATTTTACAATGCAAATGAAAAATTATAGAATACAAATGAAAAATTATAGAATACAAATGAAAAATTATAGAATACAAATGGAAACTTTTACAATACAAATGGAAAATTACACAATACAAATAGAAAATTATACAATACAAATGGAAAAGATCGAATATTGCAACATTTGACATGCCATATTTAAAAATGTCGACTTTTAGTATAAACTAGCAGTTCAAAGTTTCATTGTTCTTCTTACATATGTACCATAGGCGTTGGAACCGGGGGGAGGGGGGCTAAGCCCACCCCCCACTTTTTTTGCAAAGATAGACATAATATAGGAAGGGGGGGGAGGGGGTCACACCAAGTTAAAATAATATCGAACAATAACTTGCCCAAACCTTTGACAGGTAAGAAATAAACAAATAGTCTTTTTTACTCATCAGGTGTTGGAGTTTCCAAGGGGAGGGGACAGACCAAGGCCAATCTTTGTTTTTTCTACATAAAAATTTAATAACTTCCATGCAGGAGTGGGGGGGGGGGGCATATACACCCTGACCCCCCTTAGATCATGCATGTGTTTTTCTTCCTGACAGAATGTGTAAATGAAATACTTACTGGTTTTAAAAATTAAAGTATGTTTTCAGTTTATATCCCCGCTCCCAAAAGATATTTCTCAATTTTACAAATGCATAGAAAAATTGCATTTTTTCAAAAATTGTGCCATCATTATCACCTTTTGGACATTTGATTCCCTTTATTTTATTGAATTACTCATTGATACATTATTGATACATTATTCTTTTTTCAGTTATTTTTTAAGGTATATATAGATATATTTAAAAAAGAAAAGAGCCTCACATCTCTCCAAAAGAGGCAGTGTAATGTAAAAAGTAAATTATCAAACAATAAGTTACTCTATTGAATAAATGAATGAAATGTTGAAAGATGACATTACTGACAAAATTTTTTTGAATTTTTTTTTTTATCTTTGAATTTAGAAAATTAAGAAATATATATTGTCTCAGTGCTGGGGTGGGTGGGGGGGGGGGGGGGGCGGGGGTGGAGGGGAGAGGGCTAACCTTGTACACCCTCTTTCCTTTTTATTTCATAGCGTGAACCTCGATCCTAAAGCTTTCCTTATCAAAACAGTCGTATCAAAATTCTGAAGTTGGGTGTCCGTGTCCATAAATGTGAGATGTACTTAATGGAATAACAATTTCTGTACATAGGTTTTTGTATCAAAAGAAGAACAATTGTCATAGAACCACATAAGGAATTTTAAATCTTGTTGTTAAAATAGAAAATCTCTATGATTTAAAACTTTACTGAGAAATGTATCGATTTTGGTGTATAGATTTGTTTTAAAATTAGCATAATTATATAAATCTTAAGACCTAGCTAACTCTCTTTTGTAAAACATCTTTCTCGATATTCAAGAAAATAAGATAAAGGTGGAGGCATACCTGAAAGTGACCATGGAACTGAATATGATAGATTTTTCTTTCGAGTCAGATAATTTAAGACTATTTGAAGTGTTTTTGTGATACCGACAGGTTCGAGAAATATCGTATTTTTGAATTAAAAAAGCGCATCATTTTCTTTTTCCCAGGATATGATTTTCGTAACAAATTTATCACGTGAACAGGAATCTTACATACCTACTCTTCTGACTGGTTTGAAAAATTTGGGATAGACAACCATCCCCCCTTTTTTTTTAAAGTGAGTGACTTACAACCCCTATCTTTGGAATAAATAAAAGGGTTGTGTGTGTGTATAAATAGAGACAAAACCATTTGTATTGAGAGGAAAATTGTAAATACGTGTCTTGGCTCTCATAGGCAGATCAACCGTGATCGGAAGGGGGGGGGGGTTCAGGGGTTCGATTCTTATCCCCTTGAATTTTCAGCTTTATTGATTTCATATATAGGAAAATTTAAAAGTTGATAGTATGAAAAAAAAGTTAAATCTAAAGCCCACTTCCCCAGGAAGTTGTTTGTATACGTGTTTTATTGTTGGCTGTCTGTTTGTTTGTTTTTGTTTTTCAAAATTTTTTTTTTTTTTAGTTTTTTTTTTTAATTTATTTATTTATTTTTCGACTTCGGAGAAAAAGTGTATTTTGTCTTTTAACATCTCCCCAACCCCAAAAAAATCTTGAATCCGCCTTTGAAACTTCCTGAAAGAAAAGTAAACTTACGTGCATATGCACACACCTTTGAAAGGCCTATAATGTTGCGTTCCTTACAGCGCAATATCAGCTGATATTGTAAACAGAGCTTGTCCAGGTCACATGACCCGAATTATCCAATTCATGACAAGTTTATGTTATCACGTGACCTGCCATAACAAAATTCAGGAAAACAATTGTCAGTCGCGGGAGCACAGAAAGCTTTGTTTTTGAGAGCTACTTTTCTACTGTTCACTAATTGTCTGCAGCTTTGCTGTATTGCATGATCTGAGTCAGAGCTTGGAAAGCCGTTTTGCTTTAATATTCGCCACCTCAAGTGCTGTCACACGTAAATTTCGAAGTGAAAATGGCTGTGCAAGCACAATTCCAAAATGGCGATATGGCGCCCGTGCAAAAGAATGGGCCGATTGAAGAAGACGTGGAGTTTGATGAAGAAGTTGACAACTCGGAACAAGCGATGAAAAATGCAAGGAAAGTTAAACGCGTTCATCGCTCTAGCTCTGGGTCGGAGTCATCGAATTCTAATCATGCAACAGAGAAAAATATGTCGGGTCCCCTTGCAATAAGAAAGAATAGTCGCAAGTCTCGGGACGGGAAGGGTCGCGGCTTGCCAAAGAAAGGTTTGTGTATTGCAATTAATTTTCGTATACTACAAATATTTAGCTAATTGCCAACAAGTGTATATGTCCTTTTTAGCTGCAGTAAATAAATTGCGTTTTGTTTTTGTTTTTTTGCTGCATACCACGTGGTATTAGTCGGCCATTGCTCCACTTGTTTACAAACACAAAAAATATATATCCAGGGACAATACTCTGTTCATGCATTGACATAAATACATGAATTAAGATTATATGGAATACCTCAACATTCTATATATTGGGTGATTTGAATTTAGTAATGATCTTAAATGCGCAAGGACAGCAAGACGAAAAGATGTCAATATTGCATTGTGAGCTGTATTTGAAGGTGAAGGTCTTGAGGAATAAGGCTACATGAAATCTGTTTATGTAGTGGCCAGATTATTTATAGGAAAGCTGACAGTTGCCAAATAAGCATTACAACTGGACATTTTGCAATTCATAAATGTGTTTTCTTTGTTATTATGACCACCATGACACAGATCTATTGATAATATGTAGATATAGATAGTTCATGTTGTTATATGGTCAACAACAAATAAGCAGTGCATGTAAAAAATGAAATATATTTTATTCATCCAAATAAAAAAATATGCATGATTTATGTAGACAGTGTTAATTTTATTTAAAAGAAAAAATTAGAACGAACAGTATATATATTTTAAAAAATGAAGCAAAATTAAACAAATCTGTTTCATTGTACAGGAGGGGCAGGGGGCAAAGGCACTTGGGGAGCCCCAGGAGACGAGCTGTTTGAGGATGGGCATTGTAGAGACGTGAAGGATCCAAATTATGACTCAGAAAGTGAGGTAGGTTGTTTATTTTACTGTTATGTAATGCATTTATTATGTGTACACAAACCATTTGGAGGAAAGGTTATAAAAAAGTTTTTTTATTGAAAAGGCCATGAATAGATTTTGCCACCTCTTCAAACAAGTAGTAAAGAGGCCCGTATTAAAGAGTTTTTTGCTAGATTTACTCTTATTCACCATTTTCGATCATGTCAATATACAAAGTAGGGTTATTTTATTTTGTCAGACGGCATTCAACATTATTTTAAAAATGGATGATATGGTATATATTCTTAAAAGAATAAGTATATACAGTTCTGCCTATGTGTTTTCAGTGGCAGTAGTAAAATATTGTCGTGTAAAGACTTCATATGATGTCGTTTTCCCTACTAGTTATTCCCCTTGGCCACCATCTTGGAGGTCAGCCCAGTGATTTATCTTCTCTGATGTAAAAGGTGAAGATAATGAACAGTGACAGCGGTCAATCTCATAAATCAAGTAAACAAAACGAATCGTGAACAGGGCAAATATACAGACCTCTGGAAATTCCAGAGGTAGGATCAGGTGCCTAGGAGGAGTAAACATCTCCAGTCCAAATTGAAATATATCCAGCATGAATCGGTATTAAAAGAAGAGGAGACTTTAGCAAATGTATATTTCAGAAAAACTGATTTTTTTGTACCTCAATTACTCAATGTCCAATATGACAAGTTAAAGTTGGATAAATAATGAAAGAATCAGAGCATGTTGACCTTCAATTTGGTGACCAATAAAAAATAACTTTTGCAAATTTTTATCTTATGATCTATCCTAACACTGTCTATTATGAGAGCAGGTTACCTGTAATACACATATCAAATGAAGAGTTGGGAAGGTTGTATACTGCAAAGGGGAGAGAGACATTTATCATGCTTATACTTGAGCTAGCTAAAACATCTAATTTTTGTCTCTTCAAAGTAGTTAAAATTTGCTAAAGTTTCTTTTTATGCACATTTTCATTTTGATGCTGCAAGAAAACAGTAAGATTCCCTAATATAAGTCTTTAGCATTTATCAGCTGTTGATATTAATTTATGATTGTTAGGATATATAATTGAAATTTGCTAGGAGTCATCATAATAACCAACACATCTTCAATCCATTGCTTCTGGTCAGTCAGTCATTGTGTAATCCCTTCACCCGGTAATTGAGTGTGGGTGTATGACTTAGGTAACTGGTAACAACCCATGCTGATGAAATATGCATATGTGTCTACATAAATTGATAAGTGTAATAAAGCATGATTAATCTTCTCACTGAATCTGAAACTATTAATTAGAAGGGTTGACATTGATCACAAAGTTGCAAGAAAAAAGAATATAACAAAATGTTTCCTCAAGGAAACAGATCTTTAATGTCTGTGTGTTTCTTTTAAATCAGCAGCTGAGGCAAGATTAAATTTTCTTTGCTAATCATGTGTACGAATTGATTTATGATACCTAAGTTGGATTGTTGTAATGTGTGGTCAGGCACACAAATGTGCATCATTGAAACACTCGTATTACTAAGTTATAGAGCATTGTTTATACTCCCATTTCCCCGACATCATTTGCATTGTAAAAATCTCAAAACCAAACTATATTATTTTCTCAAAAAAAAAAAAAAAAAAATGATTTTTCTTTTTTTTATTGAAACAGATACCTTGGGTGGGTGGGAGGGGGAGTACCTGGAATACATGTGACAACAGATTGGATCATAGCTATTGAATTAATCCATCCAGTTTAGCTTGTTAGTTAATTTTATTGTAATTACATGTAAAAGTTACTTGGAAAATGATGAGAAGAACAAAATTCATCAATCTTTTTTTATTTTTGACAGGATGAATATGTTGTTGATATGATAAAACCTAAAATCTCAATAGAAGAATTAAACAAGATCTTAGAACCTGTTTTACTGGAATATTATGACAATGGAAACACGGAAGAAGTGATTGTAAGTATCCTTCTGAAAATGGACAGATTTACTTGTGTGTTTATAAGTTTATGGTGGACAGGTTAAATTGAATGCTAAAGGTTTTGGAGCAGTAACGATTTGTATTGCCTTGACCAAACTTGCTTTGGTAATGAACAGATGTACTATTACTTGTATGTGAAGTTCATAGTAGATGGGTTAAATTGAATGCTAAAGGTTTTGGAGCAGTAATAATTTGTATTGCCTTGAGCAAACTTGCATAGATGGTGCATCTAGGAAGATGTAATAACCTCATTGCTTTTTAAAGATGCTGCAAATGACATAAATTTGTGTTTATCTTGTGAATCTTAATGAACATACCTTGCCTTACATTCTTTGAAAAGAGTTTTTTGATTACCTTTGTTTTCAAGGTTGATTCAGAAATAAATGACTTTGATGTGAATGTTATTTGTAGAGAATAATCAGTGAGTTGGATGTGAATGTTATTTGTAGAGAATGTTATTTGTAGAGAACAGTCAATGAGTTGGATGTGAATGTTATTTGTAGAGAACAATCAATGAGTTTGATGTGAATGTTATTTGTAGAGAACAGACAATGAGTTTGATTTGAATGTTATTTGTAGAGAACAGACAATGAGTTTGATGTGAATGTTATTTGTAGAGAATGTTATTTGTAGAGAATAGTCAATGGGTTGGATGTGAATGTTATTTGTAGAGAATATTATTTGTACAGAGAACAGTCATTGGTTTGGATGTGAATGTTATTTGTAGAGAACAGACAATGAGTTTGATGTGAATGTTATTTGTAGAGAACAATCAATGAGATGGATGTGAATGCCGAGAAGTCCCAGATTCTGGAGATTGCTTTAAGTAAAGCTCTGGATCACAAGGCAGCTCACAGAGAGATGACGTCGGTTCTGATCTCAGATTTATATGGCAAAATTTTGTCTTCCAACGACGTGAGTACGGGATTCGATGCAATCCTTAATAACTTGGCGGAGCTGACCATTGATACCCCAGAGGCACCCGCTGTAAGTTGAAAATCTTTAAATGCATGGTAAAACTTCTAAGTTAAAACTGAAACTAGTGAATCATTATATAGTTTTCTTAATGAGAATCCAGTCTGACAAGAAGGATACATTTGAATACAGGTTATACAATGGTGTTTCAGTTTGTGTTAGAACAGACCAGAAAAAAATATCTTGTGTGCAAGTTTGAAGGAATGCCCAAAATTGAATTATTTAGCCATTCATATTTATGTGATTTACACAATTTGATAAGTTGTTTTATCTTTGTTATTCAGGTGATTGGTCAGTTTATTGCCAGAGCAATAGCCGATGACTGTATTGCTCCTAAGTTTGTGATGACGTACAAAGGCAATGTAGACGACGAACACAAACAGGCAGCATTAGACAAAGCTGAGCTTCTCCTCAGTAGAAAGCACGGCATCGTCCGATTGGACAATATCTGGGGCACTGGAGGGGGAATTAGACCTGTTAAATACCTTGTCAAACAAGTGAGTTTCTACCTCCAAGTTGTCAATATTTTGTGGTGATTGAATCAGTTAACTTCTTTGTGTCCTTCATGAATTCAGAAATTTAAATGGACCCATACATGATATGCTTGGTATAGAAAGTAATTGACAAAAAAACTACAAAAATTCCCTTCTTACAGACTGTAATGTTCATGCAATTGCTGAATCAGAATGATAAATTTGTTGTCTTTTTCATGTTAATTGAAGCGTGAATTTCTTCATATTTTCCTGTCATTTCAGATGGTACTGCTATTGAAGGAATACCTGTCTTCAGGTGATATTGCAGAGGCCACCAGGTGTTTGCAAGAATTAGAAGTCCCACATTTTCACCATGAATTAGTTTATGAGGTCAGCATTATTTATAGACCTTCTTAATCTTGCATCAGCTGTCAATCATGTTATCAGTGTTGATGTGCAACATTCAGACATGATGTAAGCAAAGTGTAATAAATAATAATTTATAGCGCCCATGGAAAAAAATTAAAATAACAACTTATTTAACTTACTTGGTATTCAGTTTTGACAACATGAATGTGTAGGAGCTGTTTTACCTTTACATTTTATTCTGGGTGCACAATTGAAGAATACCATAGCATTTATGTTCAACAAATTAGGACTTTATGCCACCACATTTGTAATGAAAAATATGTAAAGATGAAGAAAACAAAAGATGTCTTTGAAAAATCCTGATTACTTTGTGGAAAGTTTATATGTAATAATAGTAACTATTTCTCATTGTAGGCCACAGTGATGGTTATAGAGGATTCCTCAGACCGGGCAGCTCACAGAATGTGTGACTTATTGAAATCTCTCAGTGATTCTGTGATAATTACTCCAGAACAAATGTCTCAGGTAGGGCAGATCACAGAATGTGCGACTTTCTGAAATCTCAGTGAGTCTATGATAATCACTCCTGAACAGATGTCTCAGGTCAGCTCACAGAATGTGTGACTGACTGAAATCTCTCACTGAGACTCAGGAGGACAGCTTACAGAATGTGTGACTTACATAAATCAATCCAGAACAAACATCTCAAATACATGTAGTGTTTTATTCACACTCTAAGACTGATTTAGGTTTAGGACACTTGAGTTGCTGTTTTCCGTCAGTTGTTTTTGCATTATAAACTGAAAATTTGCGGCTTCTTTTCTGAAGTGACTGAGCTAATTTTGACGTTTTCGTACATATCAGTTTTGGAGTATAGCATGGGTGAAGAGGAACAAAAAAATCTATAGTATGGGTAAAGAGGGGGGAAAAATGGTAATTTCATGCCCTTCCCAGTGTGACCTGAGTGATAGAATCAAAACCTCCAGAATTAAAGCAATCTTTTAAAGTTTTTCTTGAACATCTACCAGATGAACATTTTTCAGGGTTATAATGAGTAGTGAACCTTTAACCAAATTTATGAAATTCATGAAACCCATTGCCACAGTTTGGGCTCTATGGTGATCATGTATTGGAAATTCATTGCGCCTTTGGATCCAAATCTTTACTTCAGGGCATAAAGCATGCAAACAGTGATTATAATTAAGGAATAACTGTCTTATTTTTTGGATTCATGATGTGATCAATCGAGTGGCTTGCGTGATAATTTGCATAAACGCCAAAGGCGTTTATGCATAAAATTATCACGCAAGCCAATCGATTGATCATCGTCATGAATCCAAAAAATCTGACAGTTATTCCTTTTATTTACATGCTCCTGATTCTGCAAATTCCTGTGCTAATAGCCCCGCTTCTGTCTCTATTTGTCCCGCCCCGCACGTGATTTTTTTTAACCGCGCCTATCGATGAACCAGTAGATTTATGTAGAAATAAAGTATTTTTACAATTTGTAATTTTATCTAGGACAAAGACATTGGAAATGTAAATATTAAGCAATGTTGTGAAATTCAGGGTTCCTTGTTCTATTATTCTTTGATTTGTCAGATTCAAGAATAAAATATCAGAGATATGAACGTTTTATTGTTAAAAAGATCATACTGTTGTCTGGATTTGTATCTTATCATAACATATAATTTTTTCCACAAACTATTTAGGGATTTAGACGAGTGTATGATGCCTTACCAGACATAGTGTTAGATGTTCCTTCTGCGTACACGCTTCTGGAGCGGTTTGCTGAAATGTGTCACAGAGAGGGGGTTATTACTACCGCCCTCCTCAGGGAGTTACCTCAAAGGTCAGTGTCTGTAGGAAAATGGTTAACAAAATCAGCTGTAACAGAAAAGTTTGATTGCTTCCATTTTCTTGAAATGAACATAACTTTAATGGAACATATAAAAAAATGAATTTGGAATTTGGTCTTATTGACTTTCTTGAGTTGTATAATGTATGCCTAAAGATTTGTTGTTAGAAAGGAGAGCAATTTTTTTTTTTTTGAACATTAGCAATATATTTTTTTCTATTTACAGAGGGAGAAAGAGATTTGTGTCGGAGGGGGATGGTGGAAGAATTAAAGAAGTCTCTGTTTAGCTCTTCATTCCATATCAAAAGTATCCATGACCTTGCATCCTTCATTTGCAAGTGCCAAGGGACACAACCAATACAGAACAGAAGTGAAAGGACAAGATGTTGTCAAAATTTGTAAATAGTTATTTCGTAAAACCTTTGATTGGGTTCTTTGGCAGCATTTGGATCTACATGTGTATCAGTATTCTTTCAAAACCATTTTCTAAAAGGGTGATGGACTTATTCTTATTTTATGGGAAAATCAAAGTAAAAAAGCTGAATTGTTGTTAAAAAAGAAAAGCAAAGAATTTGTAGTTGTCCAATTTTAGCCTTTGGCTATGGCAAATGTTGGAGCTGGATTTATTTCACAAATAGGTTTTTGATTTTCATTTAGGAAAAAAGTTGTGTATCATTTTGCTATATGTGTAATTCAGTTCACTTAACATTAAACTTGAGTACCTTTAGTACGACAATGGTGACATTTTTGAGCTTAAACTACAATAATTTTAATATTATTTTTGTGTATATACATGTGAATATTAAATGTTCATAAGATGTTTTGAATTTTTTTAAGTGCTAATTTAGATGTGATATTGAAAAATTCTTGTAAGCATGAATTATATGGGCATTTACTAATTGATTTGTGTCAAAGTTGCATCACTAGTAGAATTTCCTTACAGTAATGTTACAAACAATGTGGATATTATTTTTTTTTTTTAAAAATACCTTAAGAGTAATATTAAATCTCTGAGACTGTAAAAAAAAATTGCATGCAGTAAAATTAGTATACTTGGATTTTTTGAAAATGGTTTGAACAGAAATACAGGATATTTAGAATTTCCTTTATACATTGTCATATCGCAGGATATGTGTTAAAAAGGATGTAATATGAAGACAGGATAAATCTTGATGCTAATCTCCCTTTAGTGTAGGGATTTTGTAGTTGGAATAGCCAAGCAGAAATTTTCTTTTAAAAAATTGTCAAACTTTGCTCCCTCTGCTGTTGCTGATTTAGTGGCCATTAGAATCACTGTACTTAATTCCTTGTCAGGTTTAACTTCTACATTTAAAAATTGGTGGGATCATACCATGTACTTTGGAAAATTAAGTACATCATATTGCCATCTCTCACTGACTCAGCCTTTAATTCTAGTCACAATCATCTGCTTTTCTAATTTCTTCTTTAGTTTGCCATTTTTTTTATATAGATCTACAGGGCACAGAAAAGGTTAGTGTATCAGGATTTGTTTTGAATTTTATTCTTGCATTGGTGTGTGATTTTTATGAACATTTCCATTGTATTGAATAATTTAGATTCATGACCAGATATTTTCATACTGACATTAGAATCTTTCCAGCTGAACAAAGTTCTTTGGTGAAGCACAAGATTGAAATTTTTTATTTATTTATATTTCTTTCGACATTGTAAATGAGAAAAAAACTATTTTGGGGTATTTTAGTACTTTAAGGAAAATATTTATTGAGGCTATTTAAATAAATTGTGATTAAAATTTGTATTTCTTATGCTGTTAAGTGATATCTTTTTACAGAATTGTTGTGAGTCTCTTTACATTCTGGAAGGCTTGTAGTATTTTTTCGTACATTGTCAAGATTAAAAGAAACCACTCCTTTAAATAATTTAGAGTTTGAAGTAACAGCTTATTTAAAATATACAGTAATTGAATACCTGTTTAACTTTAATATAAAGCCTGTAATCATAAAAATTAGTGGTATGTTCTACAAGAGTTTGGTGCAACTGTGAAATTTGTTACACTGTTAAAACATCTGCACTAAGTGTCAGACAATAAAAAAAAAGTAAAAATTTATATCGTCTTCCATTTTAATTCATTGAGCGACCCATGCAAAGGATTAAGGACTAGGAAACTATCAAAATAAAGAAAACCTACAGAGGTTTTGGGTAAAAACAGTACTTGTTAAACCTGTTCTAGTTTGACGTTTTTGAGGTATGATCAACAGCTATACCCCAGTAATAGCTTTCTGCACAGATGTATAGTTAAACCAGTTTTTGATAAGCCTATGATGACATGCAAATTCAAAGAATTGTGGTCCCCTGGTTTTTGTGTCTTTGTGGTTAGGATGCAGTAATTTATGACATATTGTAACTGTCTTGTTTGTGCATCCTTCAAACTTCTAGGTGAAGGTCATAAATAGAAAATGATATACCTTTCTGAAAGGTGTTGTCATAGGTTATCTGATGTAAAATATGAAAGCCCTATCTTCTCTCATTCAAAAGTTATTACCATTTAAAAAAAGACTAAGGTCAAGAACACAAGGTCAAAACCCAGACAATTTTCACCAGATGTTTTGAAAGATCTTGAAACAGGCAATGCAAAAATTTAAATGCCCTTTTTTCAAAAGTTATCGGCAATGTTTTTTTTTTGTTTTTTTTTTTGAAAATTAGGTCAAACTTCAAGGTTAAGGTCATGGGGTTAAAAATCATAGCACATTTTAGAAACATCTTGTTACAGGTAATGCACATGTCAAATATGAATGCCCTATCTTATCTCCTTCAAAAGTAAGCATCAATGATAAATTGTTTGAAAATTAAGTCAAAATTGAAGTTCAATGTCGGGGGTCAAATATCATAGCACACTTTCTGAAACTTCTTGTCACAGGTAATGTACTTGTCAAATATGAACGCCCTAGAGGTTATCACCAATGTTAAAATTTTTGAAAAGTAGGTCAGACTTCAAGGTCATAGGGTCAAAAATCATAGTATATTTAGAAATAATGTACATGTGAAATATGAAAGCCTTAATCTTTTCTCATTCAAAAGTTATAACCAAGGATAAAGTTTTTGTGACAGACAGATCGACTGACAGATGAATAAGATTTAATGTCCCCTTGCTTTGGCAAAAGGATAAAAAAAAAAAAATACTGGAAAAAGTTAAATGAAGACCTTTTATTTCTCTCTCAAATCTTCAAATCTATTTTACAAAATAAATATTATTATCACAGATAAGGCAGAATATTTAAAATGTCGAAATACATCTGAACTCCCCCAAAAAGTGGGGTATCTTATTCATGAAAAAAGTGAAATTCAGCAAGAAGTTTACATCCAGCAACTTTCAGAAATAAATTAGATGGTTCCATTGAAGGAGTCATATTCATGATCAATTTTCCTGTAATTCATTGTCCAACTGAACATACTGCTCACAGAAAAAGTTGGTTTTTTTTCCACCAATCAAATGCTTTCTTCTTTAAACTGAAGAATGGTATGTCCAATCATATGCCTTTATGAAGTGGCATAATATGGCCAATCATCATCCTGATTGTCCCATCTCTCCTTCCTTATCCGAGCTCTCCTATAAATAGATTATTTAAGGTTTTATCAATTCCATCTGACACAAGCTTCCTATGTTTTAGACATTTCCTTATTTTAATTTTCTTGTTCAGCCCATTCTTGAATTTAAGATGTAAACATGGGCGATTGTACCTGTACATCATCATCCATTCATTGCTTTCGATATATACATGTACAATAGAAATTCAATCTTTTGATATATATATGCAATCATGTCAATAGAAATTCAATCTAAAGACAAAAATGGAAATTAGTAATTTCACGCAAAGTCTTTAAAAATCCAACTTCCCAAATGAATTACATCATGTAATTTCAATTATCTTGTGACTTAAAGCTTTCATTTTGAAATTTAGTGTGCATTTAATCACTGCTGAAAAAAACATGCATTTAGTTGTCAAAATAAGGAAACGTAGCATCTACTTTTATTTCCCCTTTGGCAACTTCATAATATTAATATATTGTCACACGCCAACAAAGATATTAGCCTAGTTTTACTATTTACCATTCAATCTACGTAATTATTTTACCCACTTCTCTATATAGTTATTCCACTCAGGTAATAAAGTTATTTAGCAGCAAAAGTTAGGGTTAAAAATTTTTCTTATATAAGTAAAATGTTCAGAGAATGTGTCACTTAATTACCATTATGTCACAAATAGGATGCAATATAAATTAACTCTGACGAATTAAGTGAAATTGGGACTCCTCCCAAACTTACAGACAGACAGACAATGTCAAAGTGATCCCTATCTGTCATACACTGGTTACACAATATCTGTTATTTATTGTAAATGTTGAAAATGGTATACAATGGAAATATTCAGTTATGAAGATAAATATAATCATGCAATTGTGATAGGGTGTTTCACAGGTACAACCTGCATGTGTTATAAAGTGAAAATATACATAATATTCAAGGTTTCAAAGCTTGCATGTGCATGCACGCCAAGGAAACGAGAAGAAAGAAAATTGCACTTATCAAGGCAACAAATACGAATTGGTAGATGCAGTCAACCATAGTTTGACACCAGGACATTTAATACTTAGATAAATTCAAATCACCAATATTGAATTGTTAAGGTTTTGAAATGAAGAAGAAATTCTTTACATGGTTGCATGTGTATTGTAGACAGAAACCATTATTAGACCTCAACTATCATTCACCAAAGAGTGGCGCATAAGTTACTTTTTATTAAACTATTTCTCTCATGATGTATGTAACAATTAATCTTTCACCACGATAATACTACAATGAACCAGCACAAGGGATTTTTGTGAACTGTGGGATTTTTTTTTTTATACCTGCGTTTTTCAAACCTAAAAATATCCAATTAAGGCAAAACAATTATTATTATAATACCTATTTTTCTTAATTGACAGAAAGCATGTAAAAAAAAAATCAAGCAGACAAATATTCAAGTATAAAAATACACATTGCACAGTGACATATACTCAGTCAAACCTCAGCTTTATTCCTCTTTCTTATTGCCATCCGTCTGTGCAAAAAATTAAAGTGCAAGTGACTTTAAGTGCAAAAACAATCTTGTAAGATCCTTAATTGTGTTAAATGACAATTAATAAACCAATCAACAAACATTTAAAAATTATGTAATATTTAAAAAAAAAAATGATAAGCTTTTTTTTTTCTAATAAATTCATATAAACCCCATTTTTTTTACAATCTTGCAAGATCCTTAATTGTGTTAATTAAATGACAATTAATAAACCAATCAACAAACATTTAAAAATTATGTAACATTTTAAAAAAAAAATGATTAGCTTTTTTTTTCAATAAATTCATATAAACCCCATTTTTTTCTGTAAATTAAGTGCTGTGTACATTGTATTATTTAAACTGCCTCTGTAGGTATGAAAGTAGGTGTAAAAGAGATCTTGTTGTCTGATCCATGACAATTTGTTGATAAAAAATATAATGATTCAGTCTGGAAAAATACATGTGACATTTTGGAAAATTGTTTATTTTAATTCTTCTCCTACATAATTTAACAGAATCAAGCAAATACTTCAAAAATAAAAAATATACTCTTGAATTGAAATTTAAGACTTTAACTAATGGAACAATGTAACAACTGGATTTTCACTCTTGTTTAAGAATTTTTTTTCTGGGGAGAACAATATGAAAAGTTTGACCATTTCTACTTTGTTATTTACCTGTTAACATTGTTGGCGAGCAGTTTCACATTCGACATCGTGATCAGTTTTTCATCAGAAACAACCAGCTGACCCTCATGATGTTGAGCTCCTTTACCTGGATAAAAAAATCTACTGTTATTGAAGATTCATAATGAATTAATGTTTTATTGTGGAATCATCTGATCAATGTTTGTTGGGGATCAATTTTTGTGGATTTCCTGGTCACCCACTCCCATGAATTTATCACCCCAAACAATATCTCAAAGAGTAAGCAAAGACAATATAAATAATAGGACATTCGTTGAAAACAATTTCTTTTTTTGTCTTTTAAGAAGCAATTTTATTATATTGACTGTTCCTTGGTTTATTAAGTGTATCAAAGCATTTTAATTTAAATTACAGTCATGTATTGACATATTACTAGACAGAATTCTTTACTTCTTGGAAATTTTCCTTACCTATAGTTACTGTAATAAGTATATCTTGCTTTTTTTGAAAAATTAATTGAAATCAGTGAATGTACAAGTTGCCTCCCAATAACACAAGAAATGTTTTACCAGATCCAGAACTACTCGGCCTTTCCCTCCATTCCACGATTTTACGGGCGATGTTCTGCTTCACTGACTTTGCTATGGAGTCCAAATTCAGATAACCAGCAATTTCTGAGAAAATTCCACTCAGGAAAACAACACCTTTTAAACATGTATGGTACATGTAAAGTGGAATACACAAATGCAGTTTAGAATCGCAAACAACAACAAAATTTAACTGAATCGTTAACATGGGGTTTACATGTTAGTGATATCAATATTAAGTCATATTCAACTGGTCAAAATGGCCCTCATTTCATTATGTGTAGCCCTAAAAAATAAAAATCTTCAGCAATGTATATTTTTTTGCATGAGGGAACTAGCTTGATATGTGTCGTTATAAAGGATACGTGCGAGCCTCATTAGGGGTACGGTGTCTCTGTATCCGTCGATCCTCGCGGCTACCTCTGCCTCCTTATACAGTTTCTTCCTCAGTTTCTCGGACGACGTTGTGACGATCTCATCCAGTGATGTGTTGAACTCCTTCCAGGCCATTCCCTGTGATGGAGGCTGGCCTCCCTGTACTGGGATTATTTTATGCTCCATCTGTGGGGGAAAATCTCAATTACAGAAGTGCTACTAAGGGAGATAAATTACACCATTTTTATCATTTTTGAATCATAAATGCAGTAATAAACGTTAATATTGTAATCTGCATACATATTTTAATTAATATTTTACAAATATGAATGGATTTTAAAAATTACAAAAATAATTTTTTTTCTTAAATGTAATAAATTGCCCCCTCCTTCCTTTAAAAAAAAAGAGTATGGGGCACTTTAATGCAATTTTGAGGAAAAATGGATCTGTATATTTTTCATTAAATCAAACTTGTAAAAGAATTGAAATGGGAATTAATGGCACAAAAAATTACTATGGGAATGAACCTCTTGGAAGCATGGCTCTCTGTATTTGAGGATCAGGTGCATGAGGAACTGACACACGAGCTGAGGAGAAATCTTGTTTTCACTGAAGGACGTGTAGCTCATGTGTAAAGTCTCCAGATCATCCTCCTGTTCATGAAATAAAATTAAATAATTATAAATTTAAGGGTCAACATACACACATGTAGATTAACAGTTTTTTTGTGAGCTTATTCTTTGACAGAAAATGTATTATTTAGATGTATAATTTTTTATTAAAATATTGATACTATAATGTACAATTATTTTTACTTGATTGTATTTTGGTGCAACTCCTTCTTTGCAAATTCTTAAAAATATATGTACTGCCTAATATGATTTTATAAAATAGATAGAGAAAACCTAATAGCCTTATAATATGGATCTTGATTGCACCAAATACTCCAAGGTCTATGCTCTAAATTTTGTATACACTAACATATAAGTTCAAAGTCCTTCCTTTGTCGAAACCATAATACAATGTAACACTTCTTTACAGCTTTTTTGACTTTGATAATTAAAAAAATATCAAGATTATTATAGTAAACAAGAGGCCCAAGGGCCTTAATGGTCACCTGAGTATAATACAACAATTTAGAAGTTAAATACACTGATAGATGAAGCTTTGTTGCCCTAAAGCAAGAGAAGTAGGAAGATCAGGATCAACAAAATAATCAGTCTGTATTCAGTATCAACTCATAACTTAAGTTCTAATCTGTCCCCCACTTAACACTATCACCATTCAGACTATTAACAAACTATTAGTGCTTCTGTACTATTTTTAAACCCATATTAAGACCTCTAGCATTGACCTCTCTTATGGTCTTTGAAGAACTTTTAATAAGATAAGTTATTTTTGTCTCATTTTTATTTATCTATTACTTACAGGTCTACCTGATTATTAAAACTAACAAAGTACTTCTTGAATTATACGATAAACATTCTTGCATAATTATCTTATTATATTAACCTTTCAAATACATTATTTACAGTGATTAATTATCAAAGGTGAATGGAAAAGGGGAATAACTTCTCTCAGTAGAATACAAATTAATAGAGCCCTGCCCAGGACAAGAATGCTTAGACAAATGGTCCAGATGTTCAAAAATCTGGTAGAAATACGCTTACTTATATCATTTAATCTTTTACTCAGTTTGCTTCCGATATGCCCAGAAGCAGAGAAGAATTTCACAGGTACAATGCATTTTCACTACAGATTCAACAAAGCCTTACCCTAACACCAGAACCCAAGACCAAGGGTCAAGAAATTTACAAATTTGGAAGAGTTACCCTCATCATCATAACTATGGACTTCAGAGAAATAACACTTTTCCACTATATTATCAAAAGCCCCCCCACCCCCCCCCCCCCCCTCACCCCCCACCCCTCATTATGCCAGAACCCCTGACCCTAGGACCACAAGATTTAAAAATTCTGTTCGAAGCTCCCATTTTCATCATAGCTAAACAATTTATTTATCAGCTCAACACTAAGGAGCAGACAGGATTAATTAATGATTAATTAATAGAATTAATGCTGTTTCACTATATAATCAATAGAGCCCCCCCCCCCCTCCTCAAGAACCCCAAAAACTGAGGCCATATATTTAAAAATTTTGGAAGAGGCATCCTTGCCTATCATAATCATGCACTTAGTTTGTTTAAATAATCTCCAGTAGCAGAGAAGAAAATTTTCAAAGAATTAATGCATTTTCACTATATAATCAATAGAGCCCCACCCTAACACCAGAACCCCTGACCCAGGGGCCATGGCTTTCACAATTCTGGAAGAGGCCCACCTCCTCATCATAACTATGTAATTAGTTCATAACCTTAATGCCCAGGAGCAGAGGAGAAGATTTTCAAAGAATTAATGCATTTTCACTATATAGTAGATAGAGCCCCGCCCTAACACCAGAACCCCTGACCCTGGGGCCATGAATTTCACAATTTTTGAAAAGGCACTTTTGCTCATCATAACTATGTACTTAGTTACTTCATTTAATACCCAGGAGCAGAGAATAAGATTTTCAAAGAATTAATGCTTTTTCACTATATAATCTATAGAGCCCCGCCCTAACACCAGAACCCCTGACCCTGGGGCCATGAATTTCACAATTTTTGAAAAGGCACTCTTGCTCTTCATAACTATGTACTTAGTTACTTCATTTAATACCCAGGAGCAGAGAATAAGATTTTCAAAGAAATAATGCACTTTCACTATATGATCTATATAGTCCCACCCTGGGGCCAGAACCCCTGACCCTAGGGCCATGAATTTCACAATTTTGGTAGAGGGCTCAATGCTAATTACAATGATGCCAACAGTTTGACTGCTTGATGTCCAGGAGTAAAGAAGATTTTTAAAGATTGCATTATTTTTGGTGGTTTTAGCCCCACTCCTCAGACCCCAGGGGGGCAGGGACCATGAAATTCATAATTTTTGTTCCCCTTCACCCATAGATATTATATGCCAAATCTGGTTGAAATTGGTTAAACGGTTTCAGAGAAGAAGCTAAAAATGTTCAAATGTTAACACATGATGCACGCCGACGGACGAGAACGGATAGCAATAGGTCACCTGAGTGACTCAGGTGACCTAAAAAGGAAAAATAATGTTAATTGTGAAACCTACCCCCATGAACGGATACACCACATGAGCAAATGCCCTGAAGTCCTCTACCTCCTTCCATTCAACAACAGTGATAAAGTCACACATCAACATCATGTACCGGAAACAGGCGCCATCCAAGTTACCAGATAAAATGTTACCAAACACCTGGATTGTCTGGAATAGTATTGCAAAAAAAATCATTTTAGGGAGAAAAATGTAACATGCAAGGATCTGAACCCATTGCCCTAAACTCCAGACTGGTTCTCCATCAACTAAGCTGTCAATACGTCCTTATTTTCCATTGGATTGAAATGTAATACTTTCACTAGTTTACAGTGACACCTGACTTCTGGCTAATATTTCGATGTCCAGCAGGTGAGAGTTTTTATCTGGCAATAGGGCTGACTCCTTACCATCTTCAGATTAGGAATTATTTACTGTAGTGTATATGTCTGTCACATTATGGTCCTCAAGAAATTAACCACTTACAGTAAAACTTGGTTATAGCGAAGTCCTGCGGACCTCCAAATTTACTTTACTACATCTGTCTCTAAATACTTTATATCTGTAAAACGAATTCATTAAAGTTTATTGTGAATTTGCAATGTGGATTTTTTTCCTTCAAGAATGACTACAAAATGTATTTTGGGAAGTATTAATTTATACAAAAGTTACCTTAGAGTTCATAAATTTTTGGATGAATTAGATTTCAAATATAAATGCTTACAAAAATAATGTCACTCAACATTTGAAAATTATCTTAAAAAATTAGCTTTAAGAGAAGCTATTTTCCTTAGTGTTATAATCAAAAAAATTTGTAAAATTTTTATACAGTTTTTTAAAAAAAAACTTTGCTATATTCGAAAATTCACTATACTCATGTTCATACTAAATGAGTTTTACTTATTAGTGATAATCACCACCAGACCCGCCTGATCACCACATTAAGATTTGATTATATTGCTGTCAAGAGTGCAATAACTAGTTATCAAAACTAACCTTATTCATGGAGGAGTATTCCGCAATGGCTGACAGAAGGTCATGGGTACAAAGGTACATAATATCATCAATCAGGTATCTCTCTTGCATGAACAAGTACAGACGGTCCTAGTGGGATAGAAAAAAAAGAATCTTAAACAATGCATCATTTTCAATTAGCGGCACCTTAACAGAATATGTGTGTGTGTTTTAATACAAGCAATCTGAATACAATAAGTAGTTTCAAAAACAAAAATATAATAAAAAGTAATACTGTTGAATGTCTATTGGATGTGAAACAGGTGTATAAATAAGGGTGTTTCCCTTGGTATAGCATTTATCATTTTATCTTACCAATACAGAAAATTCAAAGTCCTTTTCCTCCACAATTTTATCTCCCTCCAGCATGTAGGCCCAGAACTGTTCTATCTGAGACAGGGTCCTCCCCTAAATTACAAAAGTATGTGTACTTGAAAGTAACATGGAGCATGGAGTGTCTTTCTAATTTTGTTTTGAATTTAATTTTACCAGACATCACATTTAAGTATGTACTGTGGAATCATTAGATTTCATGGTGGCTCAATATTTGTGGACTTTGTGGGTACCCTGCATACATGAATTCACATCCTCAACAATTATAATTCGGGTTTTTGGGTAATCTTTGCTTTTGCAGATACGAGTGAATGCATGAAATTATGTCCCCTTGAACCTGTGAAATTTAGGCAATCCATGAAGATTCCCCCCCCCCCCCCCCCAATTTTAATGATTCCACAGTACTTCACTTAAAAATGAGGAAAATACTCAAAGAAAGCTATAATATATTTCACTTAATATTGTTAAACTGTCAAATATTAGCTGGATTAATAATTGGAATACTGGTACAGTAAAACATAGTTATAGCAAAGTGCCAGGGATGAATGATTGGATGCATTAGAAACATAATTTGTTATATACATTTACTTCATAATCTGTTTTTAAGCTACAGGGAATGAAAATCACTGCTATAAGTGTGAATTCATTATAAGAGTGTTCCTTATAATTGTATTTTACTGTATACTTACAATTGTCAGGGTCCGGGGAATTTTTCTCTCCAGATCTCCGGCTCTATCCTTGTAGTCGTCAAACATTCTGTGCATTGTGTGGGGCTAAAATAAAATAAGATTACTTTTTTTGTTTAAAAAAAAACATAAAATAACCCCCAAAAAACACAAATTACGGAAGAAAAACAGTCCCAAAATGCTAAATCTTCATTAAGACTGTACTGTACCATGTGAGCTTCACTGCCCACAAGACTAGGGCTTTCCCTGGAGGTGGCGGGGGTGTGGCCTGTAGGGATACTGTCCAGCTGACGAGTGTAAGTTCCCGCAGTGGACGGCATGTCCAGAGAATAATCTGGGGTCATTGGCTTCATAATCTCACTGTTTGAGGAATAAACAAATATAAATTGTACACGAGATTAACTCTTCAGAAGTCTTAAATGGAGAAGTAGAAATTACAAGTCTTACATGTATTAGCTAGCCTAAAAGGCTTGACTGACATGAATGAGCTAATTAATCATTATGCTAAGAATTTAGAAAATTTAAATCCAGTTTAATCAACATAAATCTGATTCCAGAATTTCTCTTGCTATAAATCAAGAAAAGTTGAATCCAGTGTCCTCAATAGAAAATATGACATTGACTTGAATTTAAAACTTGCAGCCTGCATTCTTTTATTGTCTGATGTCAACGTCAGACTATAAAAGAATTAATACAAGCTGGAAATATTTGCTATCTCTGGTTATGAATTTTATTCAGATCTTCAGTAGATTACACGATATTATTTTTGCTTCATTGACATTTTAATTTTATTGTTAATATATCTACATGTATATTCATTACATTTCTACTTCATTTTATTATATTAACTAAACAACTGTTTTAAAAAAAATGAATCTTAAGCTTGAAAACTTATTTGACTTTGAGGCAGTTCTCAGCAAAGTAAAGCAGTTTAGGGTAGGATTTGTGATAAGATGTATAAGCTAATGGTCTGAGGAAAGTTACTCACTCAATGAGCTCCTTGTTGATGCGGACTTTGGGCCTGGTAATTTTAATGTGAGTACAGTTGTGGGGGAGAATAATGACCTTATCACTCCCCGGCAGTTTATGAGGGCAAACCACAGTCTGTCAAAATAGATATATTATCAAATAGTTAATTTTCATTGAATCAGTTGTCTCCCTTGAAGCATTTTACTGAAAAATAATTTTAATTCATGTGGGGCCATTTTTTGTCAATTGCTGAAAAATTTACAGTTTGTTGGGACTTAATTGCATGGTGAAGCATCTATCTATAAAGGACATATTTCATTTTTTAATTCTTAAGGGATATATCTGAAATTCACAAAACTAAACCTCCTGAAAGGAAATTGTGTAGAAGTTACTTATAAATGTAATTCTTGTAATGGAGGAGGAATTTTTACTAATTATGCAACTCTTACCATTTCTAAATGTATTTACCTACATTTTTCCCCCACAAAAGTTTGTATCTAAATTAATTTAGACTTTCAACATGTTCAAATACTGGATATATATACCTTTTCTCCACAACTTGGGCAAAATTTGGCATCTTTAAATTCTTCAAATGAGCGGCCCTGGTTGTTGGACGTATACAACATGGCAGCATATTTACTGAAGACCCTCTCCTGGGGAATAAATGGGTCAGCGTCTGGCCCCTCATCATCATCATTGTCATCGTTCAGACCCGCAGAAAGAATTGAATCTACTCAGAGAAACAAAATAAGACATAATTGTCAAAATTAGGACCCGCTTAAAGAGTTTAATCTAGAAAAAGGAAAACATAGGCAATGATGGCAAAAATTCCATTTTCAATAGAAAAGATAACAATTAAGGCAAAAGAAAAAGAAATGAATATCAGTATGTATATATTTAGACTATTGCATTATTCAAAAAAATTTCAAATATAAATAATTAAAATTGTGCAACAGTGAAAAACAGTAAATCTCTGAAAGTGTTGATATCGACGTACAAGTATTTAGTAATTGTATGATACATATACTGTATTAACGTAAAAAAAAAATTAAGAATTTAAAATATGTGCTCTTTCAAGACTGCAGTGACAAACTGATTTTAATAATGCCATTTTTAAAATTGTTTCAAAGTCATTGTCATTTGTCAATGGTCACAACTTCCATTATTACTCTATTGATCCCTATATATCTTCTAGTAATCTACACTTTGTTGCATTATGAAAAAATAATTGATCTACCATTTGTGAAAGGTCTACAAAAGTATTATGTAATTAGATTTTAAATTAAGTTCTGATATTCTCCTAAAGATGACATAGTTACTCTCTACAAGATACACTGAAAATGACAGATTGTATGAACTTATGGTTGAATATTGCATGATGAACCTCTACAATCTAAATTACACTTAGCCTATTATCTACATTTTTTACTCCTAACATGCCTGAGGTTTGCAAAATTAATATTTTTCTAAACAATGTATCCACCCATATTTTTGTATAGCAGTATGAAAATAACAAAATTGAAAATATAACATCAAGAAACATTGGAAAAGTCACGACACAATACATGTACATATACTGGGACAATATAATTAGAAAAATAATTGTGTTCTGCAAGGTGAATCAATATAACATTTGCTGTTACAGCAAACAAGTGCGACATTTACCAGGATCTAATATTATGTCTGAAAGAAAATGAATCAACATTCTTATCTGCTCCAATTGAATCCTTGGGAACTTATCCATATTTACTTGATTTAATGTCATCAGGATAAACAAATAAATCTTGATAGATATATACTTGTATTAATTTTGAACCATATCTTTACAAAAACTTGAATAATGAATGTATATGTATGTATTGTTATTTAAGTACCTGACTTATTCAGCCCAGCAGGATCTGGCATTTTTCCTGTGCTCTTCCTTTTCCTGAAATTAAAAAAAAATGTCTTTAATATGTCTGTATCTTTTGATGCTTCTCAGACAAAGACTCATCTTCCACAATATGCACATATGTATTGGTACTGGACATGTACTTCTTCAAAAATTTTTGAAAAATAAGGGTCATGTATTATTTGTCACAATCAGGAGTTAATAAGAAGGGAACTTACGTAACTGTGGGTTTGTTTTGCTCCAGTATTTCTAGTTCCTTCATCAACATCTTGCAGTGTTCCTTCAGAAGGGCTAGCTCATTGCTTATGTCTCCAACATTGAACTTGAATCGCTCCTGCACAGCTTCTAGCTAAAATTTAATCAAATTCCTCTTAGACTTAATTGAAATTTAAACTCAGAGATGAAAATACAATACTTTTCACCCTCAATAATTAATTTCTTCTCAACACCTGGTCATATGGTATTTACAAAAATATTATATTACTTGAATTATCTTCCTTTAAGTTCTAAATGTTGGGGGGGGGGGGGGGCAGGGGGTGAATTTTCATTAATTCAGTGATAGGAATTTCCCACTCCAAATTTTACAATTGGCAAAAACTATTGGAAATAATTTGGAAACAGCCTCTTCAAAAGGAGAAATTCACCTCTTCACTTTAAAATTATTGAAAGTCCAACACCGAACAGCAGACTTTCCTACATTTACCTAAACAAAATTCCGCTTCCATTTCTTTTCCTGTCAAATTTTACTTTGATGTTCATCCTAAGATTCTAAGAAGAAAACATTTAAAAACCAACCCACCTGTCCAACCTGATTCTTACAGGCATTAACAACTTTTAAACTAATAAAACATCTCTCTAAAATCTCTCTCCAGTAAACCTGAGTTATTTCCCTTCACATTATTTCTTTCTCCTCTTTCCTTGAATTGTCTCCCCTTACCTCCTGGTCAGCTTGCTCTATGTCCATCTCCTGAACCTCGTATTCAGCATCTGTCAGGTCATCTCTGTCTTCTATCTTCATCAACTCTGATTTGTGCTCCTCCAAAAACCGATCAAATTCTGTAAGATTCAACCAACAACTCAACAATCTGATGAAATTCTGCAAGATTCAACCAATAACACTACAATCATGATTTTAAAAAAAAAAATCTGCTGTACTTCATCATCGTATATTTCTATATCATTCCCTAGACCAAAGGTGTAATTTACTTGACTGTATGGTTTTTTTAATCAAGCCATAGTGAGTAAGTACTAGCTATACTACTATACTGTTTTTTCATTGTTTTTGCAGCTGATATAGACCACCACATTTAACAGTATGTGATCAAGGATCTACATTTAACTATTATGCATGTAATCATGGTAATTGAATAGGATGGAGTAGAGTACATGTATTCAAGAATCTTCATAAAAATGATTTTTTTTTTTCGCCTTATAACCATGACATTTGATCCCCATGAATTTGATAAACATAGGTAATCAAAGATTACGAAGCTCTCCTCGATGAATGTTATCTTTAAGTAAGGCAAATTTCACATCATATTCTTTTTTTTAGTTAGTGTACATCCCAAGATCAATATCCATGCAAGTTTGGTTTAAGTACGACTTATAATTACTTGGAAATAGACCTGTTCAAAAAATGTTTATCCTGTTTACTAATCAAGAAAATTTTAGTCAGTTTCAACATCAAAGTAAGTCTGATAGTTTTCATCCTTAGATGCACCATCTATGCAAGCTTAATCATAACAGGCCATAATGTTATATTGCTACTCCAAAAAACATATCCTGGTCACTCATCTGGAAAATGTAGGTCAGATTCAGAATCCAAAGCAAGTCTTGAAGTGACCATCGCTAGCTACATCATCCATGCTAATTTGGTTAAAATATGGCTAAAATTTACTCGTGGATAATCTAGGTCGAGTCCAGCATTCGAAGCAGTTTTGTAAAGCATACATCCCAAGATGCATCATCCATGCAAGTTTGGTCAAGGTAGGGCTTATAGTTACTCGGGAATGGACCTGCTCCAAAAACTTTAACCTGGTCACTCATCTGGAAAATCTACGTCAGATCCAGCATCCGAATCAAGTGTGGTAGTGTCCATCCCTAGATGCATCATCCATGCAGGTTTGGTCCAGGTAGGGCTTATAGTTACTTGGGAATGGACTTGCTCCTAAAACTTTAACCGGAACGCCGACGATATAGCATAAGCTCCTCTCGACTTCGTTGAGGTGAGCTAAAAATTGATCAAACCCATGCAGTAATAAGTGATGGTAGACCTCACCCTCTACTGCTGTGTTCATAACACTCATTATCTGATCCTCTAACTTCTGGGCAGACTCTATGTTGTTCATCAAGTTAGCCTGAATGTATAGAATTACGTATATTTAGGAACATATAATAAAGAATTTTATTAATAGATGAATGTTTGTAAATCTCTTACAAAAAGTCTTGATTCTAGAAAAGTATCAAAAATTTTTTTTTAAGAAAATGGGTTGTGACATTAGGAGATAATTGTAACATGATTCAATGTGATCTTTATGTGACTAAATATTTACCCTCTTAGTGGAAATGACAGGTTTAATCTTTCTTTCAGGAGTTTCAGAATTTTCACCAGTTTCAAGAAAAGCTGTTAAAAAAAACAACATTTTGCATCTTCATCATCATCATTTTTTTTTATCATCTCTCTTTCTATATTTTATAATTTCTTTGAGTAAATTAATTAAATCTACCATAATAGAGGTCATCATATCCCTTTTTGTAGCGTGACAGATTCTCGATTTCCTGATGTGCCTCGTCGAGGGAATCCTGAAGGTCGTTTATGTCCCCCTCCAGACGCTGCTCCATTTCTTCTGACCTCTCCCTCTCTTCCTTCAGCTCCTCCTCAATCCTTAGTGTGATAAAAATAGCTCTTACATGATTGGTCAAGTCATAAACTAGCTATAAAGAATGGTGTCATTTAATTCATTCTTATTTTGGAAGTTCTAATTAATAATTGAAGAGTATTTTTTGATATAGTTTTTAGCAACATTTAATGTGAAAGGTTTGTTGATAAGGTATCCAGTTCTTTAATCTAAATCACTACAAAGCTTTAACCTTGACATTTGACCCCTGACCTGACAATGTCTGTCCCCTTTTCTGTAAGATCCTCTTCTAATCCTTCAATCTTATGGTTCAGGTCATCAATGGTCTCCTCCAGCTGAGCAATCTTTTGTTTGGATTCCTCAAACTGCTTATGTTTATCAAACAACCTACAATCATTACAGAAATTTTTGTCTACACTAAAGTACTAGATCATAATGATTTGAGATCGGGCAGGGAAGGGGGGTTTGGGGATTCAATATGATTAGTAATCCACGTGCAGAAGCTAAAATCTGCATGGACTCTACAAAGTTATGGTAATCAAATTATCATATCTGCCACATAATTTCTATTTTATCTGAGTTTATAAATCACTCATGTTCTAAATAACTATATTACAATTTCCCTTTATAGGAACATCATGAATGTTATTAACAACAGGCCATTTGCTTTAATTTTCTTTAACATAATATGTATCTCTAGGGCTCAAACTACCAATAATATGAAACCTATTAATATGTAGATTCTTATTTTGTCAGACAGTTATTTGTTTTGGATATAGATTTTTTGCACAGCCAAATGACCTTCGCTTCACTTCCTCAAGTTGTTCCAACAGCAGATCTTGTTTGTCATCTCGCTCGTCAAATATCCTCTTCATTAACGTAAAATATGGAATCTTCATCACTGTTCCATCAGTGTGTGTGGTAAGGTCTTCACTGTACACAGCATCTACAGAAAGAGCCACATTTTAAGTTAACAAGATCAAATCTCAAATACATAGTATTACATGTATTTCAGCCTTTCTCTGTGATCATTTTGAATGATTTTGGTCTAAGTTTAGGGTTTTTCTTCTTGTACACTTCTGCTAGAGATAAAATATATTAAATTAGTTTTATTAATAATTTATTATCAACGGAACTTTGTTCTGGTCTCACGAAAACCAGTACCAATTGGAATAAATGAGTTTTCTAGTATTAAAAAAATCATTGATAATTAATTTAATTGTTTCAAATTGATGACTTATTTCTTTGACACAAAAAATGGCACATTAAACATTTAATTTCAAGTTCACAAACAAATGTCTTAGAAAAATGAAAACATACCATATAAATCCTCCTTGATTTTTGTGAAGATTCTGGTGTACACTCCAAGTTTGGGAACCAGGTCATCCAGGACTTTGAAAGCGATCCTTATTCGCTCCTCATTTGGTACCCCTCCCTTTGGGGGATTCTCAACACACATCAACTCATAGTTTTTAACTTAAAAAAAGAACATTACTTACTGTTTGAGTTTTGAGCATTCTAAAGCACATTGTAAGGTAATTTTTCACAGTAATTAATGCTTTAAACTGTATATAACCAATACATTTTATCTTTTATTAAAATACCACAAACATTGAGTAGCTAGAGCCCTAAAATAGCTGGGACTTTTCTACATAAACAATATCAACTCTGTATTTTAAGCAAAAAAAAAAACATCCATATAGGCTATTTTTCTCCAATGAACTGTTAAAGGATAAAAGGAATAAATGCATGTTGGTCAAATAGAAATCAGGGATCATCGATGTGCATATAAACCATACACTATTGCAAGTCTGCAAGCTCTACACATTTTGCCATCGATTTTTTTATCGATTAGAGTTTAAAAATATATATTTCACTTTATTTATAACTGCAATATCTATGAAATTCCTGAAAAGGACAAAATAAATAGCCATAATATACCATGTGGTACTTATAATCCCTTTAATCTCGGTGGAGAATCGGTCCGAGCCGAATCTACACCGAGATAATAATCCCTCATCATCGAGACAGTGACGTGCGTCCGAGGACATTCGGGAAAGAGCGCGCACCTGCTAGCTGTTTGGGACCGAGGCAAAACTACCATTTTCCAAATTTAAAAAAAAAACAACACAAACCTTCAGCAAAACTACTGTCCACAGCCTTTGAAGACTTTTTTGAGCTCATACTTTTTTCGAAGTTATCCTCGTTTAGAGTTAGGGCACTGTTACCAAGCAAGCCATTTTGTGTGTAATTGTTAAAACCAATTCGGTGGGAGAGAGACGTCTTGACCCACCTACAACTCGGTCCGTCACATCTGACACATCGGCCATAACGGGTCGGCCAAAGATAATTGACATTGGTCCATATAAAAGACACCTCAGCCCAATCAAAATTTTATGATAGAAAAAATATTCCTGAGCGTCTGAAATGATATGTATGTACATGTAATAATTACCATTAATAATACAATTATTTTATTAATTTTCTTAATATTCTTATGACCCAATAATTTTCATTTTCTTTTTTTCTTTTTTTTTTTTATTTTATTTTATCATAATCTTTTTTTTTTTAAACAAAATTGAATTAGAAAAGGGGGGTGGGTATGATAAATAATTTTTATTTCATTTCCCTATAACTGAATTTATTTATTGTGGAAAAAGCTTAATATGATACATCTATAAGTAAAACTAAATTTGAATGTAATTTTTTCTTACGATCTCATATATTTTCATTTTTTGTTTTTTATCAAAGGAGGATTGATAGAAACAAATTCTTTCTTACGATTTAATTTTTTTTATTATAGAAATCAAAGAACATGATGAATATTTGCATGTTTCGTTTCTCTAAATAAATCAGATCAGTCTTAACCTACACATCTATTTCTTGTCGAAAATACCCAATATGTAAAACTAAATGTCAAGAAATTCCTTCTCATGATCTTACATGTACAAGTGTACATTATATCTGAATTTTATCGTTCTACATGTAGTACCTGTCTTTCAATGCATTGTTTCTGTGAACTTAAAATTTTATATCGAAGATAGTAGCTGCATATTGAAATTATATAATGCATATAATCAATACATATATGTATATATTTCAATACGCAGTTACTTTTAGACATGGATAAAGTTTCTTATTAAAATAATGAAACAAACATTTCTTTGATTATTTTGCAATGATTCGCTTTATCATGTAATTCACAATAACCGAGTGAACATTTTGAAACAAATAAACAGAAAATTCTTTTTATATAAATTTATGTGGTTTCTAACATTTTAAATTATTGAAATAAAATACCAGGACAGTCCGGCACAATCAATACATATATTTTAACTAATATTACATTTTAATGACCTTAAATGTATTTACATACATATAAATAGTACTTGAAATTTGATTAAATACATTATCTTTTTGGAGATCTTTAGGGGAAACCCATTTGAGAAGCAATGTACATGTAAGTATTACTTTCTTACAATTTTCAATTAATATACACTTTCTTCTTTGATTTTAGTATTATTTGATGTTCATTACTTAATTGGAAAAATTTACGTCTTATAATATGGAACAATTTTCATTTATCACTGATGAATTTGAGTACATATTACAATGTAAACAGATTCCAGTTATTGAAGCTGATTCTTGCAAGTTTCCTGCTATCAGGAGCGAATGCAGAAGCAGGCACAAAAGATTTCCTCAAGAAATTCAATACGTATAAAGAAGTGTGTCGAGAAATGGGCTTCAAGGGAGATTACTGCAAAGGACGTGAAAGAGGTAACATGCTTGTCAATAAACAAAATGATGTGCAGGCACGTAGCATCAGAAGGGGGGAGGGGCTCATTTTTTCCCGAAACATTACTCTTTACTGTTAAAATTGTCCATCAAAGGTTGGTTGCCATCCCCCTTCACCCCCCCCCCCTCCACACACACACTTTTGTGTCTTAAGTCTATCAGGGTAATGTGGTGTATGAATAAAATTTGGTTATGAAAAACTTGAAGTTGGAACCTAACCCCTAACCCCAACCCCCCAACACGAAGTTTGGACGATTTTCTTTCTTTTTTGGGATCTTTTTTTTTTTTATCAGGTAAGATAAAAAAATCTCTGCCCCTTTCAAAAATGGTACTACATGCCTGAAGTATGAAAAGTTATTATATTTAAAATCTAACTAAAAAAATAAATAAACTGAGAATCAAAGACCTAGTGCAAATTTTCTAGCTTTTTTATCTCATTTTTTTAAATCGAATATTTTGAAAAGTAAATTATGAGCTTAATTCAAATCGTCTGAAAAAGCTAATTTTAGTTTAAGATTGTCTGTAAAAAATTAGTTGACTTGTAAATAAACTGCACAACACAATCATTCACAATTGCATATTTTCTTCCAATAGTTATAATCTCATTTCATGCCCGAATGGCAAGTAGTCTGCAGAACCTCGGAAATAATGCCGTAGTTGTATTTGGAAAAGTAACAGAAAATTCTGGATCTGCCTATAATAGTAACACAGGGAAATTCACAGCGCCTCAGGATGGAATTTACTCGTTTACATGGACCATTCTGACAGACCCTGGAAAGATATTTGTCACATTTATTGTTCTCAATGATACGAGTAACGTCGTGGGATACAACTATGTCAACGGAAGGAATGGGAGTCAAACTTATTCAACAGGATCCGTCACAACAATTATAAAAATGAAGAAGAATGACAAGGTCTGGATAAGAGCAAATGAAAAACAAGGTGAATACGCTAATGCTAATTGGTCCTCGTTTTCTGGTTTTAAATTGTCATGATCTTTAACGGAATAAAATAAACTATTGAACTAAGTTAACTTTATATCAAATGAGCAGTGTAGTATATGCTTGGTTTAAATCATAAAATTGACAAATAATATATAACAAGAGGTCCAGGGGCCACATCGCTTACCTGAGCACTTTGGGTAGGAAAAGTAGAAATCAGATCAATCTTGAAAAGTTTAAATATAAAAGGTGGTGGTGGGTGGGTGGTTTATGATTTGAACTAACTTGAATCTATAATTCCTAAGGATGTTTTTGAATGAATATGACACATAGTGGTTTTGCTGTTCTTAAGAAGAAAATCCTTTATGTTCATTTGTATAACTATGATTATGGCCGGTCCATTGTCCTGGGGGGTTATGATTTGAACAAATTTGATTTTACATTACCTCACAATGATTCCACATAAGTTTCATATTTTCAAGCACAGTGGTTCTTGAGAAGAAGGCTTTTACATGATTCCATTATTTTTTTTTTTTTTTTTTTTTTTTTTTTTTTACAAATTCATAATTATCTCCCCTTGGAAGATTGATTGATTGTTGTTTAACGTCCCTCTCTAATTTTCACTCATATGGAGACGCCACCATTTGCCGGTGGAGAGCTGCAAATTTTTGACCTATACTCAGCACTCAGGGTCATTGAGCAGTGAGGGATCTTTTTCGTGCCAGCAACTACTGCGACACGGGACCTCGGTTTATACGGTCTCATCCGAAGGACCGGTTTCCACGTCCCGCAGTGGGATTCGAACCCGCGACGTAAGGATCAACTCCTTACAGCGCGACTCTAGAGCAAACACTCTAACCACTGCGCCACGCGGGCAACTCCCCTTGGAAGAATACGTGACCCTTCATTTGAACAAACTTGAATCCCCTATACCCAAGGATACTTTTTGGCAAGTTCGGTTGAAATTGGCCCAGTGGTTCTTGAGAAGAAGATGAAAATGTGAAAAGTTTACGACGAAAACGACAATGACGACAACGACGATAGACAATAAACAAATTTCGATCAGAAAACCCAGTCTGATTTTCCTTATTGAAATAAAATAACTTACTCGATTTTTTTTCTGGATGAGGAATGCAGTGATGAATCTATTGTTTCTCATGCTAGTAAATTAAATCCCTCAGGGTGAAGAGATCAAAACCTTGATAGATTTATTGAACATGTTTAAAAATTTCCCAGCAGCAATGCCAATATTAAGATAAAACAGTCTTCTTATAATCTAATTTTGGAAAATGAGGTTTCTCTGCCATTGAGAATTTAAAGAAAGATTAAAACATTATTAAAGATATCAAGTCTACTTAAAATTATATCTTTGAACCGAGGACCCGTGTCACGGTAGGCGTTGGCACGAGAAAGAACCCTCACTGTTCAATGGCACTGAGTGCCGAGTAAAGGTCTAAATTTGAAGCCATTCACCGGTATATGGTGACGTCTCTATATGAGTAAAAAATTCTCGAACGGGACGTAAAACCACATACAATCAATCAATCAATCAATCAATCTTATAAATTTCCGAATCCATCTGAAAACTGTACAGCGTGAAAGACTAGTCTTTCCACAAATCAAAATCACATCTTTAATATGAGTTATTCAGCCATTTATGTAATGAAACAAAGTTTTCACATTCGCCCTCATTTTTATCTTCTTGGCAGAGATCATTTTTAAACAGTTTTCAGCTCTGTGTAGTGACCATGCTTACTTTAAAAGTGAATTCCTTTGCGACAATGAAATATATGGACAACAATAGGAAAAAGCATGGGGTTTTCTGTGATTAGGAGTTCTTTAATAGAACTTTTCAACTGTTAAAAAATAAAATTAAATACTTCTACATTTAATATGATAAATTGTATGTTGCATTACTTATTAAATGACCCTTGTATTTGAAAATTCATACCACATGTACATCATTTTTATAAATAAACACAGTCACATTTTAATTATATAAATATAAAGTAAATGCCTACCACTTATATCTTGGTAAAATAAGAAAACATGATAAACTATGCAAACATATAAACTGATATATTATCCTCATTAAAAGTCATTTGATTTCAATTTTATTGCACGGATATTGAATAGTGTAGCGAGTGTGTAAGTGGATCAAAAGTCTAATTTTCATTAGATTGTTGCTTTAGTGGAAAAAATAGATTACAGTAACAGAACGTTGCTGAAATGTACATTTTATGTACATGATGAAGTTAAAAAAAACAACACCACAAAAATACATTGATTCTCTCCATTCGTTAATCCAAACTTCCATTGGGCAGTGGAACTCTACACTTCCATTGGACAGGTTTAAACTTGCCCACGAAGGGAATGGCTCTCTTAGTTAACTCACCAGTGCTGCTCTGAAATTCCAAAACAAATTAAGAATAAACTTTTATTATTTATATTTATTTACTGTAATAAAGCATTTTAACAGTAATAGTATTTATTTTTAATCAAAAAGTGCTTTCAATGTTCTATCCATAACCTGCGTAATATCAGTGTAAAATAAAACTCACGGTATCAGATTTGCAGTTTTCAACATCAGAAGCAGTCCAGAAACGGTGAAGTGAATCATTCCTATAAAGATATAGTGGAATATTAATTTTTTTTAAAATTTCTGGACACCGTTAAATTTTTGATACATTAATTAATCTAGGTGTTGATTTGGCATTTTGATCAACCATTCAGTGTGTACCATTGCTGACAAAAGTAACTTGCTTGACTATCTCTGGAACCTGGATCTTATCTGGATTTTCCCAGTGTTCCAGGTCAACTGTAAATGAAACCACAGTAGCATTGCTAAGCAACATGTCCTTACGACTGGAGGTGAGGTTTGTGCTTTTAGTTGTAGATGTGTCTTCTGTAGCTGGTTTGGTGATCTCCCTGAAAGAAAACGAATGTGATACACATTTGTGCCTAAATATCAACCATATTCATTAAAGTACTGAACAAACATTATAGCTGAATTTTATTTAGACTGTGCGGGTATAACAAATGAACAAATTCACAAATGTACATATATAGTGGTAATGAACAACCAATATTTTAAGATTCTAACACTGGATACCAATAGAGCAACTTTTACTCTCAGCCTCGGCTTTGGTCCTTTTGAGGTTGGCGATCATGTCTGTCGGAAATAATATGATAGAAAAAAGCCTGAGCGTATGAAATGATTTTATTATCATTAACAATTATATCATAAACATAATGATTTTATTAATTTGTTAATTCTTTCTAACGACCCAATAATTCTCTCTCTCTCTCTCTCTCTCTCTCTCTCTCTCTCTCAAACAAAAATTAAATGGGGAATAGATTATTGGTTCATTCTCTTAAAGGTGCTTTGACACAGATTTGAAGTTAATATTTTCTCAAATTTTCTGTATAATTTCATGACTTGTATGTTGCTATAGCAGTTCATACAAAAATATAATACAAATCTTATTTAATCTCGAAGTTATTTAAACTATTAAAACTAAATTATTAAAAATTTCTGGACGCGTTGGATTGACACATCCTTGCGCTTTCACATATTTTAATTTTATTCTTAATACTTAAGAAAAGTGGCAATTTTGTTGTGTATTACTGAAAATTCAGAGTAGAAATGTTCGAAAGCAAAACCCACTCACAGTATTGTAAGTCCGTGCTCAGTGGTGTAGAGTTTAACAATTGAACACACCCGGTGAATCGTAAACATTAACAATAACAGAGCTCGTGCCCTGTTTACAAAAACAGTTTACGCTTCACGGGTGTGTTCAATTTGTTAAACTCTTTACACAATACAGAGCACGGACTGACAATACTGGTGAGCTGGTTTTGCTTTCGAACATTTTTACTCTGAATTTTCTGGATTATGGATTTATATTTTTCATTAGTACTTAATTCTTTTCTTAAATATTAAGGATAAAGTTAAAATTTGTGTAAGTGCAAAGATGTGTTAATCAAACGCGTCCCGGAATTCGTAGTTCCAATAATTTCCAGATAAAATAAGTTTTTAATTATATTATCGCGTGAAATGCTATAGCGATATAAGTCGTGATATTATACAGAAAATTTGAGAAAATATTAAGTTCAAATCTGTGTCTATGCACCTTTAACCCAAACTATTTTTTGTGGAAAATCATCTAAGTAAAACTACCGGTAAATCTGAATACGATTCTTTTTTACAATCTAAAATATTTTCATTTTTTTTTTAATGAAAGGAGGTGTGGTATATAATTACACATTTATAATTGCTAATGTCAGGTAAATTCTTTCTTACAGTGTAATATTTTAATGATTCTTTATTAAATTTCAAACAATTTTTTTCCTACAATCCAATATTTAATGATTGTTAATTAAATTTCAGACAAAATCCATTCTTACAATATATTTTTATTACAGAAATCAAAAGGCGTATGACGGATAATTGTTTCATTTCTCTAAATAAATCAGATCAGTCTGAACTTACACATCTACTTCTTGTATAAAATACCCAATATGTAAAATTAAATTTCAACAAATTCCTTCTCACGGTCTTATATTTACAAGCGTATATTATACCTGAATTTTATCGTACTATTCTAACAGGGACCTATGTTGGCTCCTGGTACTAGTACCTGTCTTTTGGATTGTTTTTCTGATGATTTAGAGCATTTGAGATGGTTGGATAATGAACATGAAATTTTATATCGGAGGTAGTAGCTGCATATTAAAATATGTGATACATAAATTATAATCAGTACATAAATGTATATATTTCAATATACACTTACTTTAAGACACGAATAGAGTTTCTTTAAAGAAAAATGAATCAAACATTTCTTTGATTATTTTGCAATGATTCGTTTTATCATGCTTTTAACAATGCATAGCTCAGTGAATATTTTGAAACAAATAAACAGAAAATTCTTTTTATATAAGTTGATGTGATTTCTTACATTTCAAATTATTGAAATACTATATCATGACAGTCACAATCAATACATGTACTTTAACTTATATTACATTTTAATGGCCTTAAATGTATTTACATACATTTAAATAAAACTTGAAATTTTATTAAATACATTATTCTGTGCGAATCCCTTTGAGAAACGATGTACATGTAAGTCTATACTTACTTTCTATTATCATTTTATTATACATTTTCTTCTTTGATTTTATTTGAAGTTCATAACTTGATTTGGAAAATTAACCATTTAAATATTGAACAATCTTAATACATCACTGATAAATCTGAGTACATATATCAATATTTTATCAAACAGATTCCAGTTTTTGAAGCTGATTCTTGCAAGTTTCCTGCTATCTGGAGCGAATGCAGAAGCAGGCACAAAAGATTTCCTGAAGAAATTCATTAAGTATAATGACGTATGTCGAGGAATGGGCTTCAAGGGAGATAACTGTAAAGGACATGAAAGAGGTAACATGCTTGTCAATAAACGAACGTAGCATCAGGGGAACTCTCACTTTCCCCCAAACATTACTTTTTACTATAGAAATGTTCATTGAAGTCTAGTTTCACCCCTTTCCCCACCCACCCACACACCCAGACATACTCTTTGTTGAAGCAAAGTCTATCAGGGTATTGTGGTAATGTATGAATATAATTTGGTAATGAAAATGCTATGCTTTATTCAAATCGCCTGAAAATGTTAAATTTTATATCGTCTGGAAAAAAAATGTATTAAACTAGTGATAAACTAAAAAAATATTCACAATAGCATATTTTCTTCCAATAGCAATAATCTCATTTCATGCCGAAATAGCAAATAGTCTACAGAACCTCGGAAATAACGCCGTAGTTGTATTTGGAAAAGTTACAGAAAATTCTGGATCCGCCTATAATGGTAAGACAGGGAAATTCACGGCGCCTAAGGATGGAATCTACTTGTTTACATGGACTATTCTGACGACACTTGGAAAGAAATTTGTTACAAATATTGTTCTCAATGATAGCGAGCGCAGCGAGCGGCGCGAAGCGCCGCTCGTAACTGCGAGCTCTAACGACAACGCCTGGGCGAAGAGAAAATTCGGACTACTGCACATTCATTCAATAGAATTTTTTTCCGCAGTAATTCTGGACCCACAATGCATCGCTTCTTGTTCTCGCTGCTAACTTCGTTCGTGCGGTAACAACAACTAAAAATTCACAAAAAATAAACTCACCTTAATTTAATGGATATTGCATACAGATAGTAGATTAAATAGCTGCAATAATGTAGCCCTCTCCCCTTTTTTTTTGGGGGGGGGGGGAGAGGGCTACAACTCCTTAGGATCTCCGTAATGGTGCAAGTGCGGGAGTAATTCACTCCCGCACGGATTTCGGATTAAATTGTCAGTAAATGGCTATTTAATTAACATTTCTTACCTGAACTCCAAAAATGTAGTTATGCAAAACATAAATCAATCCAAACATACACAGAACAATCCATATATCGGTTATTTTTCGTGTATGTCAACATCACAACTTGAATTTATCCGCCATGTTTACTGATCTTGATCGATTTTATTTTGGGACAGCCAATGAGACTAGGGATCTCTAGGGAGCGGATCTCTGTAGGAATTACCTTATTTTAGGCATAAATATCGCTGTTTCCGAAAAAATGTCACATGGAATAGGTTTATCAATATTTAGTGATGCCATACAGCGCAATCATTTAGTAACCCCGAAAATCTACTTTACAAAGTAATTTATAATTTTCAAGCGCAAGGCTCAGTGCATCACGCGAGAACTGTCATGGCTTCTGATGAGAGCGACTGGTAAACAAGCAGATTTATTTTATCTTGGTTTTCGCAATTAACGGGCTATGTTGTTGACAGTGAATAAAAATTTCGCCTTTTTAGAAGTAAGTTGAATGTAAAAACAATTCATTTTGCCTGCAGTCGCCCGTATTTAAAAAATATATTTGCACCATTACAGAGATGCTGTGGAATTGTAGCCCTCTCCAGAAAATATCAGATAAAAAAAATCCGAGAGGGCTACTTTATTGCAGCTATAGATTAAACATTCTTTGTTAAAATCTTCGCACTTTTTAAACTTTGTTTATGGAAATGCAACTAATATACGACGTCATGTGACGTCACAGTCTAGACGTTCCAAATGTCTCATGCGGTTTGAAGAGGCGGATCTTAAAATGAAGTGAACAATGCGCTCGCCCAACGGTGGCACCGTCAACATATTACCAGTAATATCATGGGATACAATCATGTTGACGGAAAGAGGGGGAGTCAAAATTTTTCAACCGGATCCGCCACAACAATTATAAAAATGAAGAAGAATGACAAGGTCTGGATACGAACGAGAGGAAAAGAAGGAGAATACGCTTATGGTAATTGGTCCTCGTTTTCTGGTTTTAAATTGTCATGATTTTTTACGGAATGAAATGAAAATATTGAAAAACTTTAAATTTATATCAAAATAATTTAATTTCGTTTGTATTCTAGCCTCTGATTGGTTAATATCCAAAAAGGAACACAAATTATTTCTGTATAACTTGGTTTGGTATGGGGACACACCCCCATGACAACCAGCTGAATCATCTGTATCCATACAATCCTCTCATTTCCAGTCCTCGGGATTCATGGAAAATTCCAGATTTAATAAACGTACCTTTAACTTCAAACAATAATTCGATCTTACCACATGTAAACAAACAACAAGGCTGCTAGGCCTATGTATCAGTTTTTACCTCCCCTCGCTTCCCATCACTTCCGTTACTTCCGTTACTACGGTTGTATTATTGAGCGGCAAATTTGAACTAATAAAAAGCAACGAAATTTTACACCCATAGTTATTTAATGATTTTAAAATTAAATTATAAGGAATGACTCTAATTCTTGGCTAAAATTATTCGAGTATAACCTGGTTTGGGTCAGTTTACGCTGTTTTATAATCCGCTTCGCGCATTATAAAGCGTAAACTGACCCAAACCAGGTTATACTCGAATAAATTGGCCAAGAATTAGAGTCATTCCTAAATGAGTAGTGTAGCATATGCTCATGGGTTTAATTGATAAAATTGACAAATACGTAATACATGTATATAATAATAACCTAATCCTAGATTCAAGTTTTTCCTAAATAAAATAGAAGCATTTTGTAGGAGTTTTTCTGGATGAGGAGTTAATGCGGTGACGAATCTATTGTTTCTAATGCTAGTAAATTAAATACATCAGGATGTAGAAATCAAAACCTTGATAGATTTATTGACCGTTAAAAAATTCCCCAGCAGCAATATTAAGATAAAACAGTCTTCTTATAATTATGTTCCCCAAACGAAGTTGGGGAACATATTGTTTTTACTCTGTTTCTTCTTATTATTATTAAGGTCTTCCGTTTCAGACGGAAGACCTTATAGTGATTCTACTGTTTATTAAGGTCTTCCGTCTCCAACGGAAGACCTTATTGTTTTCGTTCGGTTTCTTTTTCCCTATTATTATTATTATTATTAAGGTCTTCCGTCTCCAACGGAAGACCTTATTGTTTTCGTTCGGTTTCTTTTTCCCTATTATTATTAAGGTCTTCCGTCTTCAACGGAAGACCTTATTGTTTTCGTTCGGTTTCTTTTTCCCTATTATTATTATTATTATTATTCTTACCGATTTTGTGCACGCAAGTTCTCAGTAACGTCTTGGCCGATTTTCATGAAACTTTCAGATCTGATAGGTATTGATCTGAACCTTATTGGAAATTTTTTTCGTTGATGACGTCACTTTCCATCTCGAGATATTTAGGATTTTCTGATTTTCAGAGGGTCGGCTTGTCCTGGAAACTCCTCCGAAACGACTTAAGATATTGAGTCACGATTTTCAGTGAAGGTAGGGGAAGGTTTGTAGATTTGCAGGCAGGTGTCCAAATCTCTCTAGCGCAAAAGGCGCCGAAGCTCGGTAGGGCTCAAAAAATGTCTCAGAAACATCTCACAAAATTTTACACCTTTTCTTTTATATCTTTACACATGTTAAAAAATTGTTAAAACATATAAAAGAAAAGTTGTGCAGAATGATACGACCTTTCATTTTATATCAAGAAAAAGGGGCTGACCCCTCAAATTAGGGGCTGAGCAGGGCCAAAAGTCTTCCATCTTTAACTCTTTAACGATCAGTAATTTGTAATACATTACTGAAGCAAAGATGTTTATCTCAACGATTTACAACAATATATGATAAGATTCTGATCATATGTTACGTAATAAAGGGTCAAAAGGGGCCAGAATACTAAATCTTTGATGCTTTATATCTCGAAAAGGGAGAATATTTTGATAAACAATACTGAACAAAAAATGATCAGAATAATGTACTTAACAATATGCACCCTTTCAATTTTTCTCAAACGGCCCCATAAAGGACTTGGAGGGGTGGCCCCTAAATATTTCCATTCAGCATATCTCCATAACGAAAAGAAATCTCTGAATAGTTGTTGAACAAAAAGTCTTCAAAATCACCAGACCTTTCATTTGCTATCAAGAAAAAGGAGCTGACCCTTCAAATTAGGGGCTCAGAGGGGGCCAAAAATCTTTCATTTTTAACTTTTTAACGATCAATAATTTGTAATACATTACTGAAGCAAAGATGTTTATCTTAACGATTTACAACAATATATGATAAGATTCTGATCATATGTTACGTAATAAAGGGTCAAAAGGGGCCAGAATACTAAATCTTTGATGCTTTATATCTCGAAAAAGGAGAATATTTTGATAAGCAATACTGAACAAAATATGATCAGAATAATGTACTTAACAATATGCACCCTTTCAATTTTTCTCAAACGGCCCCATAAAGGACTTGGAGGGGTGGCCCCTAAATATTTCCATTCAGCATATCTCCATAACAAAAAGAAATCTCTGAATAGTTGTTGAACAAAAAGTCTTCAAAATCACCAGACCTTTCATTTGATATCAAGAAAAAGGAGCTGACCCTTCAAATTAGGGGCTCAGAGGGGGCCAAAAATCTTTCATTTTTAACTTTTTAACGATCAATAATTTGTAATACATTACTGAAGCAAAGATGTTTATCTTAACGATTTACAACAATATATGATAAGATTCTGATCATATGTTACGTAATAAAGGGTCAAAAGGGGCCAGAATGCTAAATCTTTGACGCTTTATATCTCGAAAAGGGGGAATATTTTGATAAGCAATACTGAACAAAAGATGGTCAGAATAATGTTCTAAACAATATGCACCCTTTCAAATTTTGTCAAACGGCCCCATTAAGGACTTCGAGGGGTGGCCCCTAAATATTTCCATTCAGCATATCTCCATAACGAAAAGAAATCTCTGAATAGTTGTTGAACAAAAAGTCTTCAAAATCACAAGACCTTTCATTTGATATCAAGAAAAAGGAGCTGACCCTTCAAATTAGGGGCTCAGAGGGGCCAAAAGTCTTTCATTTTTAACTCTTTGACGATCAGTAATTTGCAATACATTACTGAAGCAAAGTTGTTTATCTTAACGATTTACAACAATATGTGATAAGATTCTGATCATATGTTACGTAATAAAGGGTCAAAAGGGGCCAGAATACTAAATCTTTGACGCTTTATATCTCGAAAAGGGGGAATATTTTGATAAGCAATACTGAACAAAAGATGGTCAGAATAATGTTCTTTACAATATACACTCTTTCTATCTTTGTCAAACGGCCCCATTAAGGATTTGGAGGGGTGGCCCCTAAATATTTCCATTCAACATATCTCCACAACGAACGGAAATCTCTGAATAGTTGTTAAACAAAAAGTCTTCAAAATCACAAGACCTTTTATTTGATATCAAGAAAAAGGGGCTGACCCCTCAAACTAGGGGCTCAGAGGGGCCAGAAGCCTGTCATCTATAGCTCTGATAGTGTTATAAAAATCAAAAGAATGAAATCTAATTAGAGAAGTCTATATATTATTATCTTTTAACAAAGTTCATAGTCAAAATCATATCTCATCTTATCGAAAAATCGGACGAAAGACCTACTCGTTGCTCGCAACGAGATCTCATCTAGTTATTATTATTATTATTATTATTCTTACCGATTTTGTGCACGCGAGTTCTCGGAAACGTCTTGGCCGATTTTCATAAATCTTTCACATCTGATAGGTATTGATCTGAACCTTATTGGAAATTTTTTTCGTAGATGACGTCACTTTTTATCTCGAGATATTAAGGATTTTCTGATTTTCAGAGGATTGGCTTGTCCTGGGAACTCCTCCGAAACGACTTAAGATATTTAGATAAGATTTTCAGTGAAGGTAGGGGAAGGTTTGTAGATTTGCAGGCAGGTGTCCAAATCTCTCTAGCTCAAAAGGCGCCGAAGCTCGGTAGGGCTCAAAAAATGTCTCAGAAACATCTCACAAAATTTTACACCTTTTCTTTCATATCTTCATACATGTTAATAATTTGTTAAAACATATAGAAGAAAAGTTGTGCAAAATGATACGACCTTTCATTTAATATCAAGAAAAAGGGGCTGACCCTTCAAATTAGGGGCTGAGAGGAGACAAAAGTCTTTCATCTATAACTCTTTAACCATCAACAATTTGTAATACATTACTGAAGCAAAAATGTTTATCTTAAGGATTTACAACAATATATGATAAGATTCTGATCATATGTTACGTAATAAGGGGTCACAAGGGGCCAGAATGCTAAATCTTTGACGCTTTATATCTCGAAAAGGGAGAATATTTTGATAAGCAATACTGAACAAAAGATGGTCAGAATAATGTTCTAAACAACATGCACTCTTTCAATTTTTGTCAGACGGCCCCATTAAGGACATGAAGGGGTGGCCCCTAAATATTTCCATTCAGCATATCTCCACAATGAAAAGAAATCTCTGAATAGTTGTTGAACAAAAAGTCTTCAAAATCACAAGACCTTTCATTTGATATGAAGAAAAAGGGGCTGACCCTTCAAATTAGGGGCTGAGAGGGGCCAAAAGTCTTTCATCTATAACTCTTTAACCATCAACAATTTGTAATACATTACTGAAGCAAAAATGTTTATCTTAACGATTTACAACAATATATGATAAGATTCTGATCATATGTTACGTAATAAGGGGTCACAAGGGGCCAGAATGCTAAATCTTTGACGCTTTATATCTCGAAAAGGGGGAATATTTTGATAAGCAATACTGAACAGAAGATGGTCAGAATAATGTTCTAAACAACATGCACTCTTTCAATTTTTGTCAGACGGCCCCATTAAGGACCTGAAGAGGTGGCCCCTAAATATTTCCATTCAGCATATCTCCACAATGAAAAGAAATCTCTGAATAGTTGTTGAACAAAAAGTCTTCAAAATCACAAGACCTTTCATTTGATATGAAGAAAAAGGGGCTGACCCTTCAAATTAGGTGCTGAGAGGGGCCAAAA